ATAGCAAAACAGTCATCAACCAGCCTCTCTGACCAGCTGCTTAATTACCAGGCCTGAAAGGGAAGTGCCTGCCCTCTTCAGTTAAGCCTCTCTTAACCCAACCCGAGGCTGATCCTCTACACCAGTGGTTCTCAACCTGGGGGTCGAACGACCCTTTCACAGGGGTCCCCTAAGACCATCAGAAAACACATATTTCCGATGTGTAAAGAGCAGCTACTGTGTAGAAAGCAGCTGCTGTGTTGAAAGCAGCTACTCTGTTGAAAGCAGCAGTATTGGAGGTAAAAGGACACTCATGAATTATAATTACTGGATAAATAATTTTATGGTTGGGGGTCACCACAACATGAGGAACTGTATTAAAGGGTCACGGCATTAGGAAGGTTGAGAACCACTGCTCTACACCCTTTATAGTGTGTACCTGTCTCAATCCAGAGCACTAAGTATCATTTCTGTCTGCAGCTTAGTTCCTCTGCTATCAGCATGATTCACTTCTGACAAGTTTTCCTGACACCAAGAGAAAAATAGTGACAGGAGAGGGACCTCCAGCAGATTGACAGCCTCAGCTCTGTTCCTGTGTGCTGTGTTGAGGGGATGTTTCTCTTCCCTCCTATCAGTTCTCAGAACTCTCCTCACTGAGCACTGCAAAGTGTAACTAGTACTCCCCCCCTTTTTCTGAACTCTCAGACATGCTTTATAAATTCAGCACTTTGAACGGATGTAGACATGTACGGTTCGTTTCATTCTGAATCAAAATTCATCCAAAATTTTCATTATGCGGAGATTCGGCTGTATCCAAATTTCCAAAATTACAATAGTAGCGAATTTAAGCAAATCCAAAATAAAGAAACTACATTTTGTACAAAATTTGATTCAAATTCAAAAACAAACAAAATTGATTTTGAAAACAAATTCAAAATATAAACACATTTCTGGCTATTTCGGATTTCCTTCAAAGACTGTGTGTGTTAGAATATAGATCACAAATAGTACCTGCGCGAAGGCTTAATTTACAGAGAACAAGCAGCTGACACAATATTACAGGCAACAATATAAACACAATAATATTAAGAGACAGTGCAGCACTAATAATAAAAAATACACAAAGTCTGACAAAAGGTAAACAAAAAAAATGCAAGACAATATTAGAATTATCCAGATAAGTCCATAAATGGATGTTAAATAGTGCTCATAAAAATCTGTGACATAAAGACTTTCACCCTTGAACTACATGGATATCCTCTTACCAGTTACATTTAACCTAGCGGTCACAAGGCGCAGCCATACAACTCCTTCACAAATGAAACCTCTCTCAACTTCTCCCTTGGGCAAACACATTCAGTGGTTGTTCCTACACTGATGAGGAGGAGGAGATAGATTGAAACAGGCAGTGAAGAGGAGAAAGCATAGTTCATTGGATCTGGGGCAAGATGTCCCTCCAAAGTTCTGAATTTTGTGGCAATACCACAAATAAGTGCAAAAAGGTACCCTCCTGGGCGCAACCCCTCCAACAATTACAGTCAGTGCCTGGGAAAATCCTAGCTAATCGCGAAGGCGTCTTCTACCAAAACCCCCAATTCTTGAGAGTTAATTGAGAACACAAGATAGTTTAACAATTTTTTGTAGCTGATGTGGCGCGTAAATTCCAGTCCAAGCTCCAGTTCCCATTCTTGTATAAAGTAGGGGTCGTCTCAGAGTGGGTAGCTAGCAGATATTTATACATTTTTTTAAAGTAGGTTCTTGAAGTCCCCAGGGGTCTTACACATGGACTCAAAGGGTGGTAACGAGTCATGTGGGTGTGATTTCTGTAGGAAACAATTCAGCTGCCTATGGCGCTAGGTGTCCATGGGGAATGCATCGGCGCAGTGTAGCCCATCGAGAGATAAGAGGCATCCCAGGAGGCCAGTTTCAAACATGTAGTGCCCCCATTCCAGGTTTTAACCCCATACCTTTTGAATGTGGCCAAGAGCCTTATAACAAAATTTTGGAAACAAACCCATTGCCCCACCTTACAGGGCTGGAGGCGAGAGGTGGACAGGGTCATGCAGGTAGAGAGATGGATCTACACTGTTAAAAATATCCTTGAGAATATTCATGACATCTGGTCTGGCTGGAAGTACTATTCTTTGGACCTAGATAGCCCAGATCGCACTGACCACTGTTTATTGGCTTCCACTAGTGAAGTTCGGTGACAACATATTATTGCAGCTAATGGACGATATATACCCAGCACAGTATTTAGTCACATACTGCCTGACTATACATAGACCTTCGGTCTTTTGATTTGATTTTTCATACTACCTCCATGGTCTTACTTTTCTGTACAGCGATTTCAACCCCGTGATCATTTTTTTTTTTCTTCCCACTATGGTTACTGCCATACTCAACTGCCCTACCGGTACTTACTGGTTTTGTGCAGCGACATTGTTCATGAAGGACTATTGGTTCCCCATATGGTAATTTGCATGCCTCTTCCTGCTGTTTCAGCTGTGGATTGCTGGTGAATTGGCGACAGGACCGGATCTGTCAGAGATCATTTCTGGTGGTATCTATGCAGTGGTTATACTTTTCATTGGACTCCACAGTTCTGCTTTTTCTCATTCTGAACTCTTTCATATGTGAGGTTGGGGCGGTAAAACCATGTGGTTGAGCCATGGTTTTACTGCTCCCCTTTAGGGTATATTCACACCAGATGCAGTGGAACTGTGTTGGGCAGCTATTCCAGCTCAGTCCCACCGCATGACAAGGCAAAATACCTTGTCTCTGGTATGTCCAATTCAGTGTTGAGTATGCAATTGTTTTGGTTTTTTTTTTAGCCCAATGCAGTGCAAAGCTGCTGGGTTGTAATGCAGTGGCTGGTGTGAATAGACGCTTAGCTGACAACTAGCAGCTGGCTGGGAGTGGAAACATGCTGCAGCTGTGATGCTCTGCACTGCAACCTCCCCGCAATTGCATATAATGCATGTGGTTGTGGTGGGGTGGTGCACATTTAGGGGGTTAAAACAGATGTCAAATGCCTCTGAAGAGTAATCTGTGAGTGGATTGATTTTCAGAGGAGCAGCAGTCTTTTTATCCCTCAGGCAGCCAGGATCTAAAGTACTTCTTGCACTCTTTATGTAATCCAACTTTGAGCCTACACATACACAGCAAGCCCTTTCAGTGCTGTGTGTGTAGGGGGGGGGGGGGGGGTAGTATAGGTGGGGCACACACAGAAGGAATAGGATGGGGGGCATTATAGATTCAGCCTTCTCAGTTCTATGCATCCAGCACATTGTACTGTGCACACTGCCAATCCTACTCTATCTCACTGAAAGGACTGGTGAGAGTGAGACATTGAGTAACAGGATCAGCAGTGCACCCCCCTCGCCCCCAGACTGAAACTGTGGCAGTGACAAGGAGCTGCTGCTGCACTGCTGACAAGCTATGGATTGCTCTGTGTGCAGCGTGAAAGAGGGCACAGTGCGCCCCATACGCAATGTGTCACTAGTCCTGGGGGGGAGGGGGGGGGGTCACTGACATCAGGGGGGGCAAAGCCCACCTCAGCACCCCCCTAGGTCTGGCCATGATTGACAATAGGATTTATGGACACAAATTTTCTGTCTTTGTTCATTGTACTGTTTCTTTTCCTTCTATTGTATTAAAAACTCTTACTGAACTGGTGCCCATAAGTGAACTGCATATTCCAGATGAGGATTTACTAATATTTAATAGAAGAAAGTATTTTACTTGCTTTAGAAACTTGGAATTGAATGCTATTATTAAATCTATGATTTACCCCCAGATCCTTCTCTACCATTGACTCCCCCCCAGTTATACTCCTCCTGGCATGTATGATGCAAGCATGCTTTTAGCCTCCAAGTGTACAACTTTTACAAACATTTAAGTGGTTGTACACCTCTAACATGAAATATGAACAAATCAAATCATATATAGTATATACTCGTCTCAATTGACAGTACCAAGTCTCATTTCTGTCTGCTGCCTCGTTCCTCTTCTATCTGCAGAAGTCTCTTCTGACAAGTTTTCCTGACATCCAAGAGGTAAAAAGGTGACAAGGGAGGGAGCTCCAGCACACAGCCTGTGGCTGACAGCCTCACCTCTATTCTTGTGTGCTTTGCGAAAGGGAGTGCGTCTCTTCCATCCAATCAGCTCTCCTCAGAGTATAACGTCAGCTCCCTGCCCCCTACTTTCTGAAGCTCAGACAAGCTGTACAAGTTCCACACTTTGAATGGCTCTAGCGAAAAGAAGTCTGCAGATAGGCAGGTACAACTTATGTACGATTTGTTTCACCTCTGTGTATCACCAGAGACACATAAGTGGATATATGTAAGGGTTTAAACTGTTTGCCTCATAGTTGTGCCATACATACAGTGCATGGTAAGTCTATAAACATTGATCGGAAAGAACATACAGCTGGATGAAACTGCACTGTATGAAATGGCTAGTTATAGGTTCTGAACCCACCCTAATGAATAAAAGTGGCAGGGTTCCCACTGTGCAGCAGGTACAAACACATATATAAAGAAACATTTGATTCATATCAACATTACTATAAATCTTCTCTATGGCAGGCCACAGCTGCAAAACTGGAGTTAGATACCCCATCTGACATTGAAGCCTGGCCCACTTCATCACCATGCCAGCACACCCCCAGCTCACATGTACTGAAATTTTATCAAGTGTCTCTACTGCTCAAAGTCAGAGCCAATGATAGCACATACATAAGCTGGATTCCCCCCCCCCCCCCAAAAAAAGGACAATTTATTCATTATAAATATTACTCAACTCTTTTATTCATAAAGAACAAAACAATATATAGAAAAATTTTAATTTCAAAGAAAAAAAACAGAAACTTTTTTCTTTTTACAAAAGCCCCCAACCAAATCAGCTAGCTATGACAAAATGTGCAATCTACAAATCAATGGAAGGGAGTTAAACATAAATAAGCACAACCTATAATATAATATCTTTTCTTTATGTCCTACATCCTGTTCTTTAGCCCTTCACTTTCCTTGTGTCTGTGCATTCAGCAGCTGTGTGTTCACATTATGGAAATGTTGCTTGGCTTTCATAGTGCTCTGTGCTTGTAGTATAAGAGCTGGTAGACTGGATAATCCATACTGAAAGATGAAAAGTTTGCACTGAAGTTAGCTAAAACTGACACATATTTCAGAGAGAACATAATTGTAAACATTGTCCCATGCTTCCTCTTCTCCAGAGAAATATAGGGCCGGGCCATTACTGACCTCCTTGTGAATATGCCAGCCACCTGGAAGTCATGCTGATCCTTTGACTTCAGTAATTTTTGAGTTAGTAACACGAATGGGATGCTGCTGGTAAATTCAGAGCTCATTGCTGGCATACATGTTCTGAGTCAGTGAGGAAGACATTATTAAAGCCACAGTGCAAGCATGACAGCCAAGCTCCTAGCATGTATAAAAGGTCGGAAATGGAAGCCTGAATATTGTAGTACAGGTCAGCTTTAATGTTAAAAAGTTCAACTAAATAATAGGTATAAATAGTAAAAGATACGGTGCCTAGAAAAGGATTCACCCCACTGATGTTTTCATGTTTTTTGACAAAGAACATTCAATCGCCGTGGGTTTAATTTTTTGTACTCTGATCAAAGAAACTCTTTCAATGGAAAAACAACTCTCTGGATAGGGAAATTAAAAAAAAAACAAAAAACTGATTGAACCCATTTGAACTATGTTTAAATATAACACACATAAACCATTCTTGGTTCAACCAACTCTTTTCAGTCACATAATTATTTGCATAGCAATTGCCTGTATGTAGTTACATTATCTCCCAGATGTGAGTACACCCCTCACATTTTTGTAAATATGTTATTATATCTTTTCATGTGACAACACTGAAGAATTGACACTTTGCTACAATGTAAAGTAGTGAGTGTACAGCTTATATAACAGTGTAAATTTGCTTTCCCCTCAAAATAACTCCACACACAGCCATTAATGTCTAAACCACTGGCAACAAAAGTGAGTACACCCCTAAGTGAAAATGTCCAAATTGGGCCCAAAGTGTCAATATTTTGTGTGGCCACCATTATTTTCCAGCACTGCCCTAACCCTCTTGGGCATGGAGTTTACCAGAGCTTCACAGGTTGCCACTGGAGTCCTCTTCCACTCCTCCATGACGACATCACGGAGCTGGTGGATGTTAGAGACCTTGCGCTCCTCCACCTTCCGTTTGAGGATGCCCCACAGATGCTCAATAGGGTTTAGGTCTGGAGACATGCTTGGCCATTCCATCAACTTTACCCTCAGCTTCTTTAACAAGGCATTGGTCGTCTTGGAGGTGTGTTTGGGGTTATGTTGGAATACTGCCCTGCGGCCCAGTCTCCAAAGGGAGGGGATCATGCTCTGCTTCAGTATGTTACAGTACATGTTGGCATTCATGGTTCCCTCAATGAACTGTAGCTCCCCAGTGTTGGCAGCACTCATGCAGCCCCAGACCATGACACTCCCACCACCATGCTTGACTGTAGGCAAGACACACTTGTCTTTGTACTCCTCACCTGGTTGCCGCCACACACACTTGACACCATCTGAACCAAATCAGTTTATCTTGGTCTCATCAGACCACAGGACGGTTCCAGTAAACCATGTCCTTAGTCTGCTTGTCTTCAGCAAACTGCGGGCTTTCTTGTGCATCATCTTTAGAAGAGGCTTCCTTCTGGGAGGACAGCCATGCAGACCAATTTAATGCAGTGTGCGGCATATGGTCTGAGCACTGACAGGCTGACCCCCCCATCCCTTCAACCTCTGCAGCAATGCTGGCAGCACTCATACGTCTATTTCCCAAAGACAACCTCTGGATATGACGCTGAGCATGTGCACTCAACTTCTTTGGTTGACCATGGCAAGGCCTGTTAAACCGCTGTATGGTCTTGGCCACCGTGCTGCAGCTCAGTTTCAGGGTCTTGGCAATCTTCTTATAGCCTAGGCCAGTGGTCGGCAAGCCGCGGCTCGCGAGCCACATGCGGCTCTTTACACGCTTTAATGCGGCTCTTGTGTGCCGGGCGCCCGCTCCCCTCCCTCCTCTCGGGCGGCAGGGACTCTGCAGCGTGATCCAAAAAAAAACAGCCAGGGCAGCGCGCTCAAATGCAATGATTGGCCAGTCTCGCTGCCACTCACATCCTGATAGCCAGTGATTGGCTGTCAGGATGTGTGTAGGCGGGGCAGCGTGACGAACGTGAGAGGAGCTAGGCTCCTCTCACAGTCCGCCCTGAAGACTGGAACGGCGCGGGAACACGGCAAGAGAAACGCGCGGAGCAAAGGTAAGTGCATTGACACAGGGGGGACTTGGCTTACTACTTGCTACTTACTTACTACTACTATATGAGGGATGAATTAATATGGGGGATGAATTACTATAGGGGGGATGAATTACTATATGGGGAATGAATTACTATGGGGGATGAATTACTATAGGGGGGATGAATTACTATATGAGGAATGAATTACTATAGGGGGGATGAATTACTATATGGGGGATGAATTACTATATGGGGGATGAATTACTATAGGGGGGATGAATTACTATGGGGGAGATGAATTACTATATGGGGGATGCATTACTATATGGGGGATGAATTACTATATGGGGGATTAATTACTATATGGGGGATGACAAATAAATAATTGGTTGTGTCGCGCTCCACCTACTAAAAATATTTAAAGTATTTTAACCATGCATATCATGCACTACTGTGTTAAATAATAAATGATATAAATATGTATTATTCCATGATTATATATAAAAAATATAAAAAATAGAATACAAATAAAAAACTTCTGTGCTATAATTAATTATTAAACAATATTTTAAAAAAGACAATAATGTAAAAAACCTTAATAAATATAGAATGCTGTATCGCTGATATTAGATAAACCCACCATTTAAAGTGACATATATGTGCAAACCGCAATGTGTATGTGCAAAAATTGCTAAATAAATAAATAATAATAATTAATAATAAATAATGTGAAATGAGCATAAAGATGCATGTGAAATATGATATTAAATGACAAATGATTAATAATAAATAATTAATAACAATTCTATATAATCTGACAGTGCAAATGATATTGTATATGCACCTCAACTTGTGCAACCCAAAGTTATAAATGGGGCTATGTATTTATTGTCCTTAGCTAGACACAAAGCGAATGTCCCAATTACGACCTTTATATATTGTGAACAATATATATATTTTGCTGATAAGGTGGAAATATTACTGTCCTTCCACTGGGTGGCCTCCCAGATACTTCTGAGCTATAAGGGCTAGGTGGATAGATACGGATATCCCTCTCGTTCTGGAGGGGTCAGACTCCTATCTCCTCTTCTCCCCTTTTGCTCCTCCAGTTTATGCCATGTAAAAGAAGAATTCCCACATAGTGCTTTATCTCTCAAATAAGACTTTAATGTGTCTCCGATAAAATGCGCACTTACATTCTTTAAAACAATACAGAGCGTGTTTCAAATGTGTGCCCGTGCACAATAACAGTACTCGCCGTTCCGCTGACTGATGGCGTTGTGATGTCAGAGCCCCTCCCCTACGCGTTACGCCACAGGGTCACGTGGCTTCCTCAGGAACGGCGAGTACTGTTATTGTGCACGGGCACACATTTGAAACACGCTCTGTATTGTTTTAAAGAATGTAAGTGCGCATTTTATCGGAGACACATTAAAGTCTTATTTGAGAGATAAAGCACTATGTGGGAATTCTTCTTTTACATGGCAAACTGGAGGAGCAAAAGGGGAGAAGAGGAGATAGGAGTCTGACCCCTCCAGAACGAGAGGGATATCCGTATCTATCCACCTAGCCCTTATAGCTCAGAAGTATCTGGGAGGCCACCCAGTGGAAGGACAGTAATATTTCCACCTTATCAGCAAAATATATATATTGTTCACAATATATAAAGGTCGTAATTGGGACATTCGCTTTGTGTCTAGCTAAGGACAATAAATACATAGCCCCATTTATAACTTTGGGTTGCACAAGTTGAGGTGCATATACAATATCATTTGCACTGTCAGATTATATAGAATTGTTATTGATTATTTATTATTAATCATTTGTCATTTAATATCATATTTCACATGCATCTTTATGCTCATTTCACATTATTTATTATTAATTATTATTTATTTATTTAGCAATTTTTGCACATACACATTGCGGTTTGCACATATATGTCACTTTAAATGGTGGGTTTATCTAATATCAGCGATACAGCATTCTATATTTATTAAGGTTTTTTACATTATTGTCTTTTTTAAAATATTGTTTAATAATTAATTATAGCACAGAAGTTTTTTATTTGTATTCTATTTTATATTTTTTATATATAGTCATGGAATAATACATATTTATATCATTATTTAACACAGTAGAGCATGATATGCATGGTTAAAATACTTTAAATATTTTTAGTAGGTGGAGCGCGACACAACCAATTATTTATTTGTCTATTACCACACAGTATTATGAGTATGTGTATTTGTGTTGAGGCACCATTATTAATTTAGTTGTTAGTCAATTATTATTTATTAATATTTTTAGTTGTCAGTCACTTATAAATTTTGCACATACCACTGTAGTAGCTCACAAGTACACTTTATTATTATATGGGGGATGAATTACTATGGGGGATGAATTACTATATGGGGGATGAATTACTATATGGGGGATGAATTACTATATGGGGGATGAATTACTATGGGGGATGAATTACTATATGGGGGATGAATTACTATATGGGGGATGAATTACTATGGGGGATTAATTACTATATGGGGGATGAATTACTATATGGGGGATGAATTACTATGGGGGATGAATTACTATAAAAACTTATTGAAACTAAAAACAGTTTACCATCCTATGTATTTTCAGTTTTAAAAATGTGGCTCTCAAAATAAATTTCAATCGTGGTTTTGGCGAGATTTGGCTCAGTTGAAAAAAAAAGGTTGCCCACCACTGGCCTAGGCCATCTTTATGTAAAACAACAATTCTTTTTTTCAGATCTTCAGAGTCCTTTGCCATGAGGTGCCATGTTGAACTTCAAGTGACCAGTATGAGAGTGTGAGAGCGATAACACATTTAACACACCTGCTCCCCCATTCACACCTGAGACCTTGTAACACTAACAAGTCACATGACACAGAAGAGGGAAAATGGCTAATGGGGCCCAATTTTGACATTGTCACTTAGGGGTGTACTCACTTTTGTTGCCAGCAGTTTAGACATTAATGGCTGTGTGTTGAGTTATTTTGAGGGGACAGCAAACTTACACTGTTATACAAGCTGTACACTCACTACTTTACATTGTAGCAAAGTGTCATTTCTTCAGTGTTATCACATGAAAGATATAATAAAATATTTACAAAAATGTGAGGGGTGGTGTCCTCACTTCTGTGAGATACTGTAACATGATATTAAAGTCACTTTTTTTTTTACTACAATAAAAAAGAGGTTTATACTTACTTGTTCTTTGCAAGTGGTATTGACAGAGCATCCCCCTATTTCTTAATTGGTGGTTGCCCGACACTGCTCTCCACTCCATCTTCTTCAAGTGTGTCCTTAGCAAACCACGTGCTAAGGGGGAACTTTTGCAGGCGCATTCCTGAGCTGGGCTGTGTGAATCCATAGACACACATCATGCGGCATGGCCCTGCCCCCACTCCTTCCTCACAGGATTTGACTGACAGCAGCAGGAGCCAATGTGCCCTCAGTGAAGCCCGTGAATTCAGGAAGAGAGGAGAGCGGGGCAGGGAGGGGAAGAAGAGGTATGGGGATGTTTTCTATCTTAATGCAAGGTAAAAATGTTTTGCTTTTATAACCACTTTAAAGCAGACCTACACAGCAAAACACAAAATTGCAACCTGACACATACTCGAAAAGCCAGCCTTCCACCTGTGAAATATAGGCTTTGAACGTCAGGATACCTCAACTAAGCTTGTAATCCAGTGAAATCAGGGACATGCCACTCTAATGTTTACAGTAACATTCTATATATGTGGCAGTCCGTTTTAAATGTTTTTTGGTAATACTCCGTGGGGTATAATCCATTACATGAATGATCATGAATATGTCACCCTTTTAATCTTTCAAAATCTAATTTTCCTTATCAAGAATTATTGGATGATTAACCACTTACAGTTTCCTTGGTGCAGGGTTTTTTAGCCTTGCATGTCCTGTAATCCTCCTTTAGCTGCCCAAGGTTGTCTAGGAAGGTTCTAGAGTTCTTGATGGATTCCTGTCTTTCCTCTAGCTCTGAACAATCCCTCTGTAGCTGGTGAAGTCTTGGTTGTTTCCTACAAATAGAAAATATTGTGAGCTGTCCATCCATTTGACTTCTTTATTGGCTTATATGCTAAATGCCTGGTTCCTTTTTGTACATCAAGAGAAAGAATGACGTTTACAGACCTTTTAGTGCCAGTTCAAGTCACTGACTCAAAGCAGTGAGGTAAGAGAGTCAGCATGGCAGCCAATCAACTACCATCTTCATAAAGAGATACAAAATAGGAATATACTCTACAGCTGGACCTGATTTGTGGCAATTATGGATTTGGACTATTTGCTGATCATTGATTTTCAGGTTATAGTGCAAGTCTATGACAGCCGGTTCACACTATGCGGTGCGAGATACCGCATGTAATTCATACAGGAATCACACCGTATAACTGTGTGAATTACATGCAAATGTCTTTGCAGTGTAATTTGAGCCACACTTTGTATGGCTCAAATCGCATCGTATCCGCACCAAACAGGTGCAGGATTCCTTTTTTTAAATCTGCACCTGAATCGCATCGTATGGGTGTTCTCACCCATGCGATGCAATTCCTAGCAATCGCATCGTGTTTTGTGATCGGTTTCAGGGCGTCATTAAGTTATTATTGACACCTGCACTAGATCACATGAACATGATGCGATTGCAATGCGGTGCGGGAAACGCACAGGATTTGCAGTATTTCCCGCACTACATTGGTGTGAACCCGGGTTCAAAGTAAGAGTTTTAGCCAAAAAAAAAAAAAAATCTTACTTCATAATTTCATCGTTCACTTCAATTAAACGTTTTTGTTTTCTTCTAATTTCTAGTCGCATCTGTGGGATATAGCAAAGGCACACTCTGGTCAGACATGAAAATTCAGCTGTAACAGTAGACATTACACAATGGCATTACAAAACAAGCTGAGCGAGCCAGTGTAATCACCTCTACTAAACATCCTTTCTAAACTGAAAGGACAACTATACTTTTGCTACCTTTTAGGGGTTTGTTCAGTGTAGTGACTAGCAGATGCTGCACCGGATAAACCCTAGTCACCACTAGCACACATAGAAAACAATTACTTTCTTTGTGCCCCATTAACACTGCAACTCAGCCAGGAGCTGTGGTAAAGTGCAGATGCAGCTTTTTACAGCAGCGTCCTGAGAGGATCTGTGCTGCTGTGCAGAGACTTAAGGTATCACAGTAAAAAATAAAAAATTAAACTGTGGGATGCACTGAAATCCACATCTCACCACCCTCCCCCTCACCGCAAGCAAATCAAACATACAGCTGCCCACATGCTTTTAAATGGTGCATTTAGTGTGGGGGCAGCGTGAATGAGCCCCAAGGCCTAGTTTACACTTGTGGTCAGGCTAAAAGGGTTTCAAAATAGGCAGTTGACCTGCAAAAACTGCATCAAGGCATGTGTACACCCCTGGCTGCTTCTTCTGCAGCTACAGGGTGTAGAGGATGAGGGCGGTAAAAGCTTGGTTCAACCACTGGGTTTCCCCCTCCTGTGTGAATGAGCCCTAAAGGCTTTCACAAAGCTTGCCAAAAAGCTGTGCAAATGCTTTGTAAATCTTTTTTGTTCACACTGCTCTGATAAAAACTGAAGTTTAATGCCCTGCACACAAGGTGAGAAGATCGGATTTAAAAAAAAATGCTTTCGGAGGGATCCTTCAATAATCCAATCATTCGTACACAGCTCTCGACCGCTGATCATGACAGTTTAATATTATTATTATAGGTACTTATATAGGGCTGTCAATTTAAGCGGCGCTTTACATATATATATATTGTACATTCATATCAGTCACTAACCCTCAAGGGGCGTACAATCTAAAGTTTCCTAACGTACATTCATACATACACATACTAGGGCCAATTTAGACAGGAGCCAATTCACCTACCAGCATGTCTTTGGAGATGGGAGGAAACCGGAATACCTGGAGGAAACCCACGCAGACACAGGGAGAACATGCAAACTCCAGGCAGGTGGTGCCATAGTTGGGATTCGAACCAAGGACCCTAGTACTGCCAGGTGGAAGTGCTAGCTATTTAGCCACTGTGCTGCCCATTTAGCCACTATGCTGCCCAAGCGACAATATCCAAAGGGACCAGCACGAAAATGTTCTCGTACTATAACACAGCAATTTTGTTTAATCAGTACAGTATTTGTCTGGGAAAAAAAAAAATCAAGAGACCAAGACTGTGCATGCTTGAAAACTAAAGAATACATTACAATACATCACTTCTGAAGTTGTATTCTGTCATACGAGAATTTCCGTAACTTAAGTAACCTCTGCATTTTTGATAGGAGACTAGCAAGCAAAAAAAACCATAGATGACCACCGTTCACTCAATATTCTCACCGTGTGTACCAGGCATAAGGGGAAACGTATAACAGACTGGCTTAGGACCCTGAACAGAACTGTCCATTTTGCTGAAAAACACTCCACTCTGGATAACCACCTTCCATAACTGGATCCCCCCTTGCTAAATCTAGATGTTATAATTCCCATTCTCTATATGTGGCTCCAAATTTGTGGCCTAATTTCCTGGCACAAATACTACATTTTCTCAGGGTCCACAGTGACACATAACAAGAGGTTTTTTTACCTCTTCAGATGTGGGAAAAACTGTACTTTTTTAAACAGAGTATTCAAATGAAGGCCGAACTTCGATGTCAAGGAATACTGTCTGCCAGGGGGCAAAGACCAGGGCAAGTATTGAAGCCTATTCCTTATCCCCTAGACAAAATGATCCAATTTTTTTTAGTGTTGGGGGGCCCTGCCTTGTTAGTTTTTGCAGCTGGCTCACTGAAACAACATATTTGTTGCAGGGTATACTCAAAATCTGACTTGTATCTTAGTGCAGACATCTGGGAAATCAGTAAGCCAATCACGCAAGCAGGAAATGATAGTTGGGGAAGGGGGGAGGGGGGTTCTATACACCATGTGTGTACAGAAAGCCTCCAGGTAGCCATATTGCACTGCGCTTTACAGAGGATTACAGCTCTGCAGATTGAAAAGGAAAGGTAATTTTAAGAGCATTCATTACATTACAATATGACTTCTGTCACAATTGTACACTCTATATTAGTGTACTTTTTGTTTGCTAAATCTTTCCCATGAAAGCGGAGATACCCTTTAAAGAGACACTATCACTATCCTCATTCAGTGTCTTTTCAAAGCCCACCCCAGGAAGATATACATGCCCACCAATCCAAGAATCCTCACTTCCTCCCCACTGAAGAAGTGCAACCCATGTGAGCTCCAGAGTCAGAGATCACTACCACTCCCCACCTGACAGTGTTCAGGCCTGAGGAATGGCCCAAGCACATGGGAGAGGTCATATGCTACCCCATACCCAGAAAGCCTATATAACCTCCTGGGGGGTGATGGGCAATCAGCAGACACTGTAACTTTGCTCTCAAAGGTGATAGACTTGGGTTGGGGTTACAGATTATATAGGGTTTATGTCCCCTTTAAGATTTGCACTTTGTGTAGGTTTTTTAGAGTTAAGACATTATCTACTTCAGCCATTCCAAACAGTAAGTAATCATTTTTACTGGCAATGGATCTAATCCTTCTGGTGCTCACATCCCAATCTGCATTATGCAAAGAACTACAATGCCCCTTTTATTCTCATTGATTTGAGTGGAAAGTTGGGGAAGGGTTAGTGAATTCTCTGCTCCATCATAATAAAAACATGGGCAAAATACATACTGAGAATTAGGGAGAGCTGGGACAAAGTAGCATCCAATGGACAAAGCCAAAAAATAGTCTCAAACGAAAACTTACCTTTGCATTTTTTCTTTTCAAACCTTTAAGCATTCGCACATTTTTTATCTAAAAAACAAATATAAGAAAGTTAAAGTTAAATGGTTAAAAGTTCACCTTTGTAACATGTTACTTCAGACTAGCCCCCGCTCCCTGCTTTGACAGCTAGCAGGGGAATCTTCTCCCCCCTCACTAGCTGTCAAATGAAAAAAAAAAAAAAAAAACAAAAAAAAACCATTGCCGTGCAGGGCTCCGCCTACACGGCCGCATCACTCATTCACAGTCATCTGTGAATGAGAGACTACAAGTCCTGTCAGTCTTAGCAGCTGTCAGCTTGTAGTCCTCAATGAACTACCACAGTCCTGTGAAGCGCCGTGGTGGTTCATTAATTCTTCCTGTCGGAATATTTGCATGCTCGTACATCCTGTACGGCAAGCAGATATTCTGACAGGTCTGCAGGAGATGGCATCAGAGATCTACTTATCACTGGTGCAATGCTTTCCAGTCTCCTGCAGACAAAAAAAATAAATGCACATTTTTTACCTGCAAAAGAAAAAAAAAAACAAAACATTTATGATTTCTCTCTAAAAGGTGAGCTTATCCTTTAATACACATGTTGCTTTACTAAAGAAGTCTTGAACATGAAAACAAAAGAATATTGTATTGCATGGAGGGTGATATACCTTGGCTTGAGCAGCCTTGGTCATCAGTGATGGGGGAAGCTCTGAAATCAATCCTACTGATCTCATGGTCACCATTAAAACTTATGTCCTTAACTGATGCCTTGTCTATTTGGGAGATGCAGTCAGACCCTGGATTGGTTACACTAGCCAAACAGAGAACCCCAAGGGTATGGAAAAATGAGGTTTCCCTTAGCTTTCTGTCCTGTAGCTACAACAGCTAGTAAGAGCAGATCTCTCCCCAAATTGATGGGAAATCCCTTCTCAGACAGGTGTCACTGAAACAAATGTTCTTGTTGGAAGATAACCTTCCATTCCTATTATGGATTTTCCTAGATTTCTGTCCAGGTGACAATCGCATTTAACCTCAAAAGGATCTTAAGTTCTCCGAAAAATGGGAGATCTGTGCAGAGAGGCCCTCTTTGAGCCTTGACAGGAAGTGAGAACAGTCCCTAATAGTAGTGGTTGGGCTTATTCTCATCAGATTCTCACCACTGCTACCACTGTAGTGAGCTGTAATTCAAAATTCTGATCTTTTCAGTTTAGATAGTTTCATCCGTAAAGAACTTTCTTCTTGAGAAAGTCCTTTTACGAATGAAATGCATTGGGGTGTGGCCTAGCAGTGGAAGTGCACTGTCTGTCATCCAGTACTGTGATCTCCTAGCTGTTATTCACATTGGACAGTATGATAGCATGGCTCGACTAGCGTCTATAAGAGGAGGCACTCTCTGCAATGCTTTATCATTTTGTAATTTTGCGAGTAGGCTTTTATTTCAATAAAGTGTGTTTTATTTTTGAAATTACAGTATTAGACCCCTCTTTTATACAGTGGGGATCGAAAGTTTGGGCACCTCAGCTAAAAATTTGTATTAATGTGCATAAAGAAGCCAAGGAAAGATGGAAAAATCTCCAAAAGGCATCAAATTACAGATTAGACATTATTATAATATGTCAACAAAAGTTAGATTTTATTTCCATCATTTACACTTTCAAAATAACAGAAAACAAAAAAATGGCGTCTGCAAAAGTTTGGGCACCCTGCAGAATTTATAGCATGCACTGCCCCCTTTGCAAATCTGAGACCTGCCAGTGTCATGGATTGTTCTCAATCATCGTCTGGGAAGACCAGGTGATGTCAAGCTCAAAGGTTTTAAATGCCCAGACTCATCTGACCTTGCCCCAACAATCAGCACCATGGGTTCTTCTAAGCAGTTGTCTAGAAAACTGAAACTGAAAATAGTTGATGCTCACAAAGCTGGAGAAGGCTATAAGAAGATAGCAAAGCGTTTTCAGATGTCAAAATCCTCTGTTCGAAATGTAATTAAGAAATGGCAATCATCAGGAACAGTGGAAGTTAAAGCAACATCTGGAAGACCAAGAAAAATATCAGACAGAACAGCTCACAGGATTGTGAGAAAAACAATTCAAAACCCACGTTGGACTGCACGATCCCTCCAGAAAGATCTGGCAGACACTGGAGTTGTGGTACACTATTCCACTATAAAGAGATACTTGTACAAATATGGTCTTCATGGAAGAGTCATCAGAAGAAAACCTCTTCTATGTCCTCACCACAAAAATCATCGTTTGAACTTTGCAAATGAACATATAGACAAGCCTGATGCATTTTGGAAACAAGTTCTGTGGACCGATGAGGTTAAAATTGAACTTTTTGGCCGGAATGAGCAAAGGTACGTTTGGAGAAGAAGGGGCACAGAATTTAATGAAAAGAACCTCTGTCCAACTGTTAAGCATGGGGTTGGATCAATCATGCTTTGGGGTTGTGTTGCAGCCAGTGGCACAGGGAACATCTCACGAGTAGAAGGAAAAATGGATTCAATAAAATTTCAGCAAATTTTGGATGGCAACTTGATGCCATCTGTGAAAAAGCTGAAGTTAAAGAGAGGATGGCTTCTACAAATGGATAATGATCCTAAACACACCTCAAAATCCATGGGGGATTACATCAAGAGGCGTAAACTGAAGGTTTTGCCATGGCCTTCACAATCTCCTGACCTCAACATAATTGAAAATCTATGGATAGACCTTAAAAGAGCAGTGCGTGACAGACAGCCCAGAAATCTCAAAGAACTGGAAGACTTTTGTAAGGAAGAATGGGCAAAGATACCTCAAACAAGAATTGAAAGACTCTTGGCTGGCTACGAAAAGCGTTTACAAGCTGTGATACTTGCCAAAGGGGGCAGTACAAGATATTAACTCTGCAGGGTGCCCAAACTTTTGCAGACGCCATTTTTTTGTTTTCTGTTATTTTGAAAGTGTAAATGATGGAAATAAAATCTAACTTTTGTTGACATATTATAAGAATGTCTAATCTGTAATTTGATGCCTTTTGGAGATTTTTCCATCTTTCCTTGGCTTCTTTATGCACATTAATACAAATATTTAGCTGGGGTGCCCAAACTTTCGATCCACACTGTATATACATACACCATCCTAATGAGAGCTCCTGTGGAAGATGTTTAAGAGAATAAAGAGCAGACCTATGAAGATCTGTTTACTGTCTGGAGGAGTTCAAAGTGAATAATGGCAATCTAGAAATAGAAAGGCATTTCAGTTTGGGGAGTTGCTGGAGCATGGAGTGAACACTGATATTAACATAAGAAGACACCACACATGAGCACGTTTGGAAAATATTGATTCATTTAGTGAACTTTATTTGCATCATATTATAGCACTTTATTATACATTTGGTTTTAGCACATATTCATATCACAACAATTGATTTTATTGTATATATTAATTAATATTTTACTTATGGTTTCATCAGCATAGATTTGCACATTTGATTATTTATGGAGCACTGAAAATTGGATTTAATTTATTTTATTATATGTATAGATATGCCAACGACCTTACAGTCATATTAAAGCCTAAACATTTTTTATCTTAATGCATTCCTTCCTTCATCAGTATAGTCCCCCTTACCCTCCCCCCACTTACCTAAGCCTTCAGTCAATCCAGCACTGTGCCCGTCTGCAGTGGCTCTCTCCCCTCACTTCTTGGTCTCACAGGCTTTGCTGAGGCAACAAGAGCCATTGGTCTCTTCTGCTGTAAATGAAAGCCAGTGATGAGGGAGCGGAGGATGTGGCAGAGTGCCACTGTCTGCGTGTACAGACGCAGGCTGCAGGGCTTGTGAGCGAACCTGTATGAGTGCTCCCATAAGAACAGTCTTTCTATGGGGACATACGATGGAGGAGGAAGTGCCAGGTGCACCAGCATGGGTCCCAAGAAGAGAAAGTTCAGGGCCACTCTGTGCAACTCCATTGCACAGAGCAGGTAAGTATATAAACCTGTTCATTTTTTTAAAAATGCTCTCTAGTTTCCTTGACTTTACAACTAAGCCCACTGGGGTTCGTAAAACATATCAGAGTGCAAGAAAGTGGAGTGGGGTATTTGTAAAGGATTGAAATTGAAATGCAATAAATAGTTTTTGGATGCCACTCTTATGGATGGTTTAGTTATCTCTAATATAATTTACAGAAAATATCAGTCTCATAATAAATGCAAAGGACAAATATGACATAATAAAAAAGATGACGTAGGCTCTAACTACATTCTACTGGAGTTATATCTTAAAATAAGGGGTTCTGGGTAATTCTTACTTTCGATTATATACCAAAAAGTAACAGATGTTATGCTGGTAATCAACACCAGAACCAAGTCTGCCACCAGTATACTGCTGCAGTGACATCATTTTTTAAAGATACTACTGCTAGGACAAGTAGATGCTAATCTTCTGTTTCTTTTAAATTCCAGCTAAGTTTACTCTTCTTACAAGGTGTATTATTATATCCAATAACAGCAGAATTTCCATCTAATACTTACAGCTGTAGTTAGCTGATCTTTATAACTGAGAAAAAACATATCCACTGCTTTTTCACTTGCACCATCAATGGATTCCCTGCAAAAGAATGTTTTTAGCTTAGTATTTTCAACTTGTACATAGAAACAAGCCTTGCTCTACTAACAACAAAATATACTGTTATAGTCCAACTCCAGCTTTAACAGATTTTTAAGTTTTTAACTTGCCCCACAGCTAAAAAATGCCTATCAAGTGACCAACCAGATGACAACTAAATTTAAAATGATGTACATAGGTTTTCAAGCAAATTGTCTAAATTGCCCCTAGCATGTGTATGAATGTGAGTTAGGGTCCTTAGCTTGTAAGCTCCCTAAGGGCAGGAACTGATGCGAATGTACAATATATGTAAAAGGTCTGCATAAATTGATGGCACTATGCAAGTACCTGCAATAAATAAAACGATGCACTTGTATTTAAAACAGACAAATAAATTAAGTGAAATGAAAATTCATGCTTGGAATTTTCATTTGTAATTTTAACATGTGATCAACAAAGATAAATTGTGAAATTGAGATCATTTTAGTTTTTGACCTGCTTAAAGCGGGCAGATACTTGCAACTGCACCGTTTGCCAATATTCCAATCATATTGAATGCATTTTATTCTTGAGAGCTGAAGACTACTCTGTCTTCATCGAGGAAGTGGTAGGTTACACATAAATGAGACCCCTATGCTGACAACCCCTGTTCAGGCACTGATGCAGTGGGTGGGGGGGGGGGGTTTGCCCTTTTTTGGGAGTGCTCTTAAAGCTCTCCCTCAAGAACAATCAAGCCAGTATCAGCTTGGTAATGTGCAGGGAAGGCTCACTGCCACAGGGACTGTAGCTTGCATAAATAGTATGCTGGGCTGGTAGTCTGTAGAGAGAAAGTGGATGGCCACAGAAAAATAAATCAACTCTTCATATACTGATCTTGTCAACACACTAAACTGGCACTAAAGACAAATTTTAATCTAAACATCCCATCTGGGGATAGTATTGTGTTGGAGTGTATCTTACACCCCCACCCTTGGAGTTACATTTATGAACACATGGACCATGGGTGAGAAGTGATACTATGACACTTGATCTAGACCGCTGTAATACTGAGACCATTATTTGTTTATGAGAGTTATTCTTGGATTGTTTGGAGGGTTTTGGGTCCCTGTGATCTCTTCCTTTAAGCAATAACAGTACATACAACAGCTACACCATTTAATAAAGTCCCAGTAAGTTGAGCTTTGGTATGCTCATCTCCATTTTGTATAGGTCAATTTTAATCTAATTTAAAGTGATTGAAAATTTGTGCTCAGCTTGCACTTCAATGCAAATTTCCATGCAAAATAGAATTTGAATAAGTGTAATGCATCACGTGAAATATTTTTCACAAGAAATAATTAGCTCAATGATTGCACAAAGCAAAACAATTATCTATATATATTACTTTTAGAGATGGAAACAAAGCTGCCTCTGAAAACATGTTTAAAACCACTTTTTATATATTTGGCATATCAATCCCATTAGTGGAAAAACATACCAGTATGTAACAATTTACTATTCAATAAGCATACAAGAAATAAGGTCTTTGGCTATATTTATATCTCCCCTGCAGAATACAAAGCAGGGAAGCAACCTTTTTCTGGCTGCGCAACAATATAAAATATGAAGAGAAGAGCCTCAATTAAAAATATGCTTAGAGAAAGTAATTATTTTTCAGCTCTGGACAAATTTACAGGCCATATAAATTTTCATTTACCTATAATGGTTAACCAAGCTCTCACTCTCAAATAGTATGACATCAAGTTCATTCACATCTTTGGCAGTTCCAGGTGCATCTTCTGGGCTCCAGAGACGCAGCTGTATATTTTCTTTTTGCTCTATAAATGGAAATAAATAGGATTTTTGTACTCATTGCATAATAATTTATTTGGAGTGAGTTGAGAGACATAGGAAGTCTTTATCGATTGGGTTATATAGCCACCTACTTACAGACAGGAGGGTAACATAGCAAAGGCCCAAGAAAACAACTGAGAACAGGGAAGTGACTGCAGTAATCAAGCTTTCTGATGAAGGTTCACTTTAAAGACTTCTTGTGTCCTCCAATGGATGACAAAGAAACACCATTGTCCAAGACTCAGTAAGAGTAAACACCTATTCCTGATTCAGCTGTACAGATGGATGTGTACCCTCCATAGAGAAGTTATAAAGGAGCCATCAGCATGATTATTCTCCAGCACCACCCCAAGCATGGAAAATTAATGTTTTACTACTGTGGATCCATAAAGCTGAAAGGATATTTTTAACGTTATAAACTATAATCCAAAAATATACATATGGCTCTCGTAGCTGCAATTAAAAAATAAAAAAAAAAAAAAAAGCTAGTAAAAAAAATTAATTTGCACAGATGTCTAAATGTGGTAAAATGAAAAAAAAAAATGACCTAGTAACACATTTAATTTACACTGATGTTTGAGCATTATAAAATGATATGCAGAGTTCAGGTCTGCAACTAATTATTCTAATCTTAACTTACCATATAACACAACAATAAAACATAAAAAAACCTTTTAGAGTTGCTTGTTTCGATGACAGCACTCACAGAAGAATTATACAAGAAGAAAATATAGAACCTGTGTGTGGATACTTCTGAGCATGTTACAGAAGGCAGGCAAACATACATTTGGCCTTTAGATTAGCTGTATGCCCATTGCAAAATTGGGAATTAGAAGGGTTAACTACCGGATGTCCCTAAAGTCTGGACCAGTGTTTTACAACGTTATTCAGTCAAGACACCCTTTAGAACTGTGCACAATCCCGGGATACACCAGTCTGAGGGCTCGTTCACACCAGGATGTGCGTCTGAGCACATGCTTTTTGTGTGTTCGTGCACATCGCATTTTCTAATTTTCAGTGATCTTAGGTTGTAACACTTCTACCTCCAAATTCCCCCTTCTAGCGTTGCCCCCCCCCCCAAAAAAAAAATCCCTCTTCTAAACACACACTCCCCCCCCCCCTTCTCATTCCTTCTTCCAGCACAAACCCCCCCTCCTAGTACAAATCCCCCTGCTCCCAATACCCAACTCCTAGTACAAACCCAGCTCCAGCCCCCATCCCTTCTCCCCACTCCTAGTACAAACCCAGCTCCAGCCCCCATCCCTTCTATTAGCACAACCCTCTCAAATCTTCCACCAAATACCTCCTCTAAGCACCCCCCCATCCCGCACAAACGATCTGTTCCCAAATCCCCACTCCTACTACAAACCCTGTCCAAACCCCCCAATCCCCACTTCCAGCACTATCCTCTCAAACCCCCCCCCTTCTAACACAAACCCCCAAACCCCACTCCAATCCTCCCCAATCCCCTCTCCCAGCACAACCCCTCAAATCCCCCCTTTATAGTATAACCCCCCCCCCCCTCCCCCGCCACCTCCTAAATCGTTCCGTACTAGCACAAAAGTGGACTGTGCCCAATCCTCTCAAATCCCCCAACTTAGCACAACAATTCCCACCCCAGCACAAATGTGGGCTGTGTTCAATCCTCTCAAATCTCCCCCTCCAAATCCCTCCCCCTCTTAGCACAACTCTCCTACATTGCGACTCTGCGAGGAGAGAGAGAGAGCACAGCCCACACGGCTTTCTCCTCTTGCCTACAGCTACAGGTACTGTTGCCAGTAAAACAGAAAGCTGTAGTGCAGCCCCACATGTCCTTAACCAATGATGCTTGGTACATCAGTTGGTAGGACACAGGCGGGGGGCCTGCACAGCTTTCTGCTTTGCTGGAAATCGTACCCATAGCTGCAGGGAGGAGGAGAGAGCCGCGTGGGCTGTGCTCTCCTTTCCTCAGAGTCGCAGTTCACATAGTAGTGCTCATACAAGGATGTGGCCGCAGCACCCCTCTGAGGACTCTTCATGGCACCCTGGCTGAAAAACCCTGGTCTGGACACATAGGAAATATTACTATATATGTATATTATATCACTATATAAGCTCACCAGACATTAACCCCCTTGACTTCTTTTTATGGGGTATGCTAAAGGAGAAGGTGTACTCCATGAAAATCACAGATATGAATCACCTGAAGGAACACATCATGAATGAATTTGCTCAAATTGAGGGAAATGTGGAGTTACTGCATCAGGTTCATATGGATCTTGCAAAGCGTATGGAACTTTGCGTCACAAATGGTGGAAATCACAAGATGTTATTGATTAATATTTCAATGAAATAAAATGTTGTTGAAAATTTTATTGAAATGTATTGAAAGTATGCATTTTGCCTATGTGTCCAGATGTTCGAGACATCCTTTATATTAAGGAATGGAATTTCATCACACATTAAAAAAAAATTAAAAATTGTTTTTCCATTAGTTACAAGTTTTTTCTTTTTCCTTTAACCAGAGTTAGATGATAAGGGATGATTTCAACATAAGTATTTAACTTTTGGACTTTTGAAAGTTATATTCAAGTGCAATATAATGCATTTATAGAATTTAAACAAACCAGTATAGGAAATAATGGCCTTCAGTGTCTCATTTGTAATCTAAAGCTTAGTTACATACAATGCAATTTAGTTGCATAGCCTGGCCACACAGTTAATGTCACTCCTTCCTTCAGCCAGATCAAGTCAAATAATAATACTAGCAACATGCAGCAAAAATATACTATAACATTGAATACATAAGAATGGAGACGTCATGCAATATGCCACCACCTGAAGTGTCTGATAGGCTCTTAGCTATGCCAGATAATAGAGGTAATAGAATACCATCTTCTACTCCACATACTTGCTTTGTTTGGTTCCTTTTTCTTAGGCGTTTTCTTTCTTTTAGCTTTAGGCCTTGTCTTCTCATAAGTCTTCTGAAACAAATGAAGTGGTTTAATCAAAAGAAAAATGTGGGGTACTTGATAAAAGTGCAGAAAAAAGAAGTGAATGAAATAAAATAAGATATTTGTACTCTTTTCCCTAAAATCTTTTTTTCCTTTGAAATCTATCCTAATTCTAATCCCACATGCTAATAAAACACTAAGGATGCTGAGGCATGTCCCTTCACATAAATCACACTCTTAAAATTACCGTATTTTTCGCTCCATAAGACGCACCTGACCATAAGACGCACCTAGGTTTTAGAGGCAGAAAAAAGGAAAAAAAAAATTCTGAACTAATGGACTGCAGACAGTACAGGGGATGACCAGAGACTGCGGACAGCACAGGGATGACCAGAGACTGCGGACAGCACAGGGATGACCAGAGACTGCGGACAGCACAGGGATGACCAGCGACTGCGGACAGCACAGGGATGACCAGCGACTGCGGACAGCACAGGGGATGACCAGCGACTGCGGACAGCACAGGGATGACCAGCGACTGCGGACAGCACAGGGATGACCAGAGACTGCGGACAGCACAGGGATGACCAGAGACTGCGGACAGCACAGGGATGACCAGAGACTGCGGACAGCACAGGGATGACCAGAGACTGCGGACAGCACAGGGATGACCAGAGACTGCGGACAGCACAGGGATGACCAGAGACTGCGGACAGCACAGGGATGACCAGAGACTGCGGACAGCACAGGGATGACCAGAGACTGCGGACAGCACAGGGATGACCAGAGACTGCGGACAGTACAGATGACTGCTGACCTTTGGGGAGGTGGGGAGCGGGTACCTGAATTTGACAGGTACCCGCTCTTACTTCCACAGAGTTTTTGTTTGATCTTACCTGTTTCTCGATCCAGCCGCGCGCTGTCTTCCCGGCTTCTGTAATGGCGCTCGGCATGACAGCCGGGTGCCCAGGGCGCATGAGCGAGAAGCACTTGCGCTTTGTTATTGGTCCGGCGGCTTCTGGGATCTGTCATGTGTCCCAGGTACCGCCTTACCATTCACAAAATGCACCGCTTCTTGCGCATACGCACTTGGCACCCGGCTGTCATGCCCAGTGCCCACTCTACAGAAGCCGGAAGACAGCGTGCCGCTGGATAGAGGAACAGGTAAGATCAAAGAACAAAGAAGTAAGAGCGGGTACCTGTCAAATTCAGGTACCCGCTCCCCACCTCCCCAAAGGTCTGCAGTCATCTCCATAAGGTCCCGCTGCAGAGCTGAGCGGCCGGCCCGATATTCTGACACGGCAGCGCTGGAAATACCGGACCGGCCGCTCCATATTCGCCCCATGAGACGCACTGACATTTACCCCCTTTTTTTGGGGGAAAAAAGTGAGTCTTATGGAGCGAAAAATACGGTACGGTACCTCCCTCACCCCTCTGGTTCTTTTAAGCTCTGGAGACATATCCCCAAACCCTGGGCCTCCTTTATTTACTATAACCCAAAACCAGCCTCCCCTTTTCCTGTGCCCTCTGGAATGCCCGCTCTGTCTGCAACAAACTCACTTCAGTTCATGATCTCTTTGTCACTTACTCCTTTAATCTACTTGCTGTCACCAAAACCTGGCTTCATGAATCAAGACACTGCTTTTCCTGTTTCCCTCTCACATGGCAGCCTTTTCTGGACTCACTCCCCCAGACCCAACTGACACAAGGGAGGTGAAGTGGGAATCCTCCTATCACCACAGAGAACCACCTTTCAGATTCTTTGCTCTCCTCCCTCTCATCATTTGAAGCTCACAGTATATTTCTGTTTTCTCCAATTTCTTTAAGAATTGCAGTAATCTACTGGCCCCCCAGCACCAGTATCAACTTTCTTTGATGACTTCTCTGCCTGGTAATCCTACTTACTTTCTTGTGAAATCCCCACAATCATTCTCGGAGACTTCAGCATCCCTGTTACCAACACTCCTGCTACTTCTAAACTTCTTAGTCTAACCTCCTCATTTGACATGAAACAATAGGTACATGCTTCTACTCATTTTGATGGCAACACCCTCGACCTTGTACTCTCCTACCTATTCACTCCATCCAACCCCTCCAACAATCCTTTTCCTCTCTCTGATCACCACCTTATTAGTTTCACACTCTCCTCATCTTCCACCACCTCATCCTCCAACTGCCTAACAATGACCTGTTGAGACCTTCGCCACTTTAACCCTTCTTTCCTCTACTCTGCTACTGACCACCTCTATGACAAAATCTCACCCCTGTACTGCCCCAATCTAGCCACTTTTGTCTACAATAGATCCCTGTCCTCCGTCCTGGATGAGCTCGCCTCTTTCACTACATACAGAATCAGGCCCTGACCGACAACCCAAGCAAAAAGACGACACCAGAAGTCTTAAAACAGCAGCCATGCTCTTGAGCGTCCGTGGCATAAGGCCAATTCTCACAAAGACTTCTACCAATATAAATCTGCCCTCCAAAAATACAATTCTTGCCTCCACACTGCCAAGCAGCCCTATCTTATTACCCTCTTTAACACCCTCTCATCCAGTCCCAGTCAACTATCATCTACCTTTAACTCTCTATTTCATCCTCCACCAACTAACTCACTCACTGCCCAGGAGATCGCCAATCACAAAAATATTCACATAAATAAGATTGATAGAATTCGTGATTAAATCTACATTTTACAGATATTCACCCCACTTAATATCCTATGTCCAAAGGCATACTCAACACTTCCCTTATTCAACCCTGCTACTATAGACAAGGTTGCTAAACTTTTTCTAACGCCCACCGAACCACCTGCTCCCTGGACCCTATTCCCTCTCAAATACTGCGGTCACCCTCTGGCTCAATCCTACATGCTGTAACTCACATCTTCAATCTCTTCCTCTCTTCTGGCATCTTCCAAAGCTTTAAAACATGCACTAGTCACTCCCATACTTAAAAAGCCTTCTTTGGACCCCACCAATCTTAAAAAATTACACCCCATCTCCTTGCTCCCCTTTTCCTCCAAACTCCTTGAATGCCCAATCTACAACCAAGTGACCACCTCTTTAAGAATAACCTTCTTGATCCCCCTTCAGTCTGGATTTCACCCACAAAACACCACAGAATCTGCTCTACTAAGACAAACGATTTACTAGGAGCTACAATCAATGGAGACTATTCTGTAGTCCTAATTCTGGACCTTTTGGCTGCCTTTGATATGGTTGATCACCCCCTCTTCAAAAAAAATAAAAAAAAAAACCACCAAAAAAACCACAACTTTACTCCTTTGGTCTCTGTGACTGTGCTCTTCAATGGCTCTCATCCTACCTATCCCACCACACCTTCAGTGTCACTTACAATTCTACTTCCTCTTCCTTTCTCTGTCAGGGTCCCCCAAAGGCTCTGTTCTTGGACCTCTACTGTTCTCAATCTATACCTCCTCCATGGGAAAGCTGATAGCCTCCCATGGCTTTCAATATCATTTCTACACTGATGACACAAATCTCTCTATACCCCTCAGCCCACAATATCGGTCTCCGCACTAATTTACTGACTGACATATCTGTCTGAATGTCACACCAATTCTTCAAAACTCAAAATATTCAAAACTGAGCTCTTATTTCCTCCCACATGTGCCCCTTCTGCTAATTTCTCTGTCAAGATCAATGGCACAACCGTCAACCTGTCCACGCATGCCAGGATGCTAGGTGTAATCCTGGACTCTGAATTCTCCTTTTGGCCTCACACCCAATCACTTTCCAAAGCTTGCCGACTCCTCAACAACTCCAAAATATGCCCCTTCCAAATCAATGATACCACAAAGCTCTTAATCCATTGCCTGGTCATCTCTCGCCTCGACTACTGCAACTCCCTCCTCACTGGCTAACCTTTACATAAGCTATCCCCCCTCCAGTCCATCATGAATGCTCCTGCCAGGCTCATCCACCTTACCAGCCGTTCAGTGTCTGACAGGCCTCTCTGCCAATCCCTCCACTGGCTTCCGCTCACCCAACAAATTAAATTCAAAACGCTAACAACAACTTACAAAGTCATCCACAGCTTGGCCCCCAGCTACATCGCAAACATAGTCTCAAAATACCATCCAAATCTTTGTTCCTCCCAAGATCTCCTGCTCTCTAGTTCCCTTGTCACCTCTTCCCATGCTTGACTCTAGGAGTTCTCCCAAGTCTTTCCCATCCTATGGAATTCCCAACCCAATCTGTCTGAGCACCTCCTACTCTGTCCACTTTTAGGCGATCCCTGAAAACTTTGTTTTTAAGAGAAGCCTATCCTGCCTCCCCTTAACAACTGCACTTTTTTTTTTTTCTCTCCAGCAGCTCATCCCCCACAGTTATTACCTTTTGTATAACTTGACCCTCCCCTTTTATATTGTAAGCTCTAACAAGTAGGGCCCTTTGATTCCTTCTGTATTGAACTGTATTGTAACTGTACTGTTGCCGTCATGTTGTAAAGCACTGTGTAAACTGTTGCCGCTATATAAATCCTGTATAATAATAATCATAATATTTGAAGGACACAGGATAGTAGCAATTCCTTGACGTGTGATATACTGCCACCTCCTTTTGAAAAAAATAAATGCTCATTTTTTTTGCAGATTGCGGGTGCAATGTCAGGCTCCTGCAGACTCTGAGAATAGCCATTTACCTGAAACAAATATATGAGCAGGCAGTTACTTGAGAGTGAGAAGATCACCAGCACCCTCGTAGTTAATTAAGAACAACAAGCCATCAGCCGCAATGGCTGACGGTACTTGTAGTCTTGTATTAATTCACAGGAGTCAATGAATGAATGATGCAGCCGTATGGGCAGAACCCTGCACGTCCACACGCTTTTCAAATTGTGACAGCAGGTGCAGGCATAAGATCCATCGCCCCCTGTAAGAGCATGCTGAACATGTTACATTTCAGCTGAAAATGGCTCACAGGAGAGCAGAACAAACTGCACTCCTGTGATCCACAGGAAAAGTACAGCCAAAAGAACATTGGCTGTACTTCTCCCTTAAATCTGCTAATACATTTAACACTCTCCTCCCTCTAGACTGAGAATGCTGCTGTCCAAAAGGTGCCCCCGATGCTAATTCATCCAGAGTGTGGGCACTCTAATACAGGAGGTGTGCCACCAGGTGAAAACAGAGGGAAGAAAGCCTAAGAAAACTGTTTCATACAACTTTAGGACAGCCCCCCATATACAGTGACCCCACCTGTGTCTCTCAATGTACAACAAGAAAATGATTTTACGGTAAGTACAAAAATCTTCATTTCTTCATTGTCCATTGAAGGTTGTAGGATAGACTTACACAGTATCTTACGAAGAGGATATGTGCATTTGAAGAAAAGCATGATCTGTCTGTGGACCCTCCAAGGAGGAACAGAATATAAAGGTTATATTCCAGGCTAGCCCTGCAATCTTCATTTCAGCAGGGTCCAGGTACTGGCTTAAAAGCTTCTGCTGAGAATATGCTGACCTGGACAGCTGCTGTGAAGTGACTAGACCAAGCAACACATTCAAAGTCTTATTCGAAGATACCAAAGAGAAATATATCCACAGTGTACTTAGTATCTTAATGGAAGAGAAGATTCTTAGTTAAAAAATAAAGTCAGAGTTTTGTTCTAGTGTAGAGCTGAGGGAAAGCTTCCAGAAACTAACAAAAAATTGAGGCACGATGATTGGAGGCAGGTTTATAGAAGGATTGGCCTAATATCTTTTGTTTGCCAGTGTCCAAACAGTTACCCATATGCCAACAGATGACAACAATCCTAAATCCCTAAATGTACAAAAAGGAAAAAAAAAATCATTACTTTGAGTGCATAAAGTGCAAGTTCACCTTCACCAAGACTTTCCAAAAATCTCCCTATGCAAGTCCTTATCTTTTGAATAGTACATAAAACTGCACTTTTATTTCAAATGTTGCACCTCCTCTCCCATTACACATGCAGTTGGCGAGATGCTCCACAAAAACTGTTGGCCCCTTAATCCCCCCCATTTCCAGGATGAGCTAGACAATCGTGCATCCCTGGGGCCATTAAAACTTAGTTAGTGCAGAGTGAACTTTCTTTCTTTAGCTGACCTAGGGATGATGAGAGAATGTGGCAGTTCTATGGCCCAGAAGGGCCTCCAGGGGGCGTACATATGTAATATCCAGGCCATCCTGCAAACAGCTGCAAATGTAATGGCAGGAGGTGCAACTTTTAGAAAAGGAGGAGGAGCACTGGTATTCAAAAGATATGGAATTGCATGGCAGGGGGTGGAATCTTGCTGAAAGTAAATTGGGCAAGGTTTCACAGGAAGGAGATTGTGTTTGAAAATAAATTTACACTTGAGTATTATTATCAAAGAGTCTGTGGCTTAAGGCTCCTGTAACCTCCTGCCCCCTTATATTTTATGACAATTAATGCATTCTGGCTGTCAAGCCTTTAGCTGTGATTGGCTTGGTTAAAGAAGTTGTAAAATCAAGTCTCAGAAACAACACTTCCTGATAATTGCTAATCCATTAACTGTTTTCAGCCCTTGTAAAAAAAGACAGTCCATGGGCATGTCATTAGACTGGAGTTTGGGAGACATGGTGTCATACTATTCCCCTCCACTCTCTCATGCCCCAGTTCATTCTCCTGTACCATGACACCAAGCAGACAGACACACACACACACAGCACCAGGGTGTGGTCAAATCTCTTTTATGCAGCATTACTATATGAGGCTCATGCATCTGTCTCCTCGTCATAGCCTGTTGCTCACAGGAGAAGGGGAGAGCCGCCTCCATATGCTTCCAGGTATCGGCTTTCCACCATTTAGAACTGCAGAAAGGATTGCAAAACATCAGGACTGACTCAACACGCCATACTAAGCTCAAATGCTTAGTACAGGGAAACTTTATTGAATGTATTTTATCACATTGTTTTATCTTTATCAGGTTTACAACCACTTTAAGCACTCTTCTATAAACTTAATTTTTGCAGCTCTAGCAGGAGCATACAGCTGCATACCTTATTTGTGGCCTGTTCAGAAGGGGGGGTCTGCTGGGTTGACCCTGTTTTTTCTTCTACTTCAGGCTCTGAAGATCCACCTTTTTCAGAAGCCTCCAAGTCTCTTACTGATGTTGCAGTTTTTTGGAGAGTCTGAAAATTACACAATATTGACACAGTATTTACAATAGACTTTTTACTCATAAATAAAAGATAACTGTTGTTTGTGTACCATTAAGATCCACACTAGGACTACCAGGGAAACAAACAACTAGTGCCCCCCTGTTGGCTGGATTGACGTCCCAGCCAAGGCACAATCAGGGGACAGACAGTGCTTTTCTGATTTGCTAAATATTATCATAACTGTGTATGTTTACTGGAAGTCTGCTTTAAAGTGAAAAGTGCAAGAGCAGTAGCACTCAAACAAAGAGAAAACAGCCACATTTAGGTACCTTTTGTTTTTTTCCTGGCACACTCTTTGGCGTTAATGAATGATGCTCTGAAGCAGCAGATTTATTCTTCTGTGCACTGTTTTTTCTCCCACTAAAAACAATGATACCATATTATTATCAATTCATACTATTTGATATGGATGAAAATCACACAACTGGTGCAACAATGGCAAGCAAAGTTATGGCTTTAAGCTAAAAGGAATCTGTCCTTGCAGTTGGAGGGAGGTAAAAATATGTGGCATTTTTACCACGCCCCAATGTGTCTCACAAAGGCAGGGGCTGGGGGTGTACACATGCTGTGGCAAGAATTATACCCCCCCCCCTTCAAGTGCTCTGCAATGGGATGCAATTTAGCAGCTGCAGCTCACTAGCTGGGCGATCAAAACGTTAAGCAGGCAGTGAGGAGGCTATACAATGCCTACTCACCGCCTGTCAAATGTTATCTGAAGAGCAATACAAAATTTGGATAGACCTTCAGAGACCAAAGCTCATGTGAAGGAGCCCTAAAAGCACCATTCACCACCAGTTTTTCTGAGGTTAAAATGGTTCCAAAGGTCAGTCATTTTTTACTTTAATGCAATCCTTGAATTAGGGTAAAAATGTCTCAGAATTTGTATTGTCCCCTCACTTTTTTGTATACTTATCTGAGCCCTATTTCAATCCAACACTCTGCCTGTCTTCAGCAGCTTCAGAAAAATATTTCTAACCACTTTACACTCAGATCTTTGTGGGATTGCGGTCATTCACTTTAAACAAGCTGCTAGCAAGCTTCAGTAAGCTTCAACACTACTTGAGGCTTGCTGACTGCCTGCTGAAGTGTGCTAGTCCTTAAAGTCACAGTCAGCACTGGCTAAAATTTAGGTTTAAGATCCCTTTATTAAAACAAAGCTTTTCTAAACATTGCTCTTATACAAAGTGAAACATTTGTGAGCAAGATCTAATAGTGCTCAAGATGCAGTGGTTCCCCATTCTTCTATGCACATTAATGCAGGAAGGTATGAAATGTGGCAACCCCTGCTTGCCTAGATACATACATTTCTATTTCTGCCACTAGACGGTGCTATGGATACAGCACATACACAGCGTATGATCTGCTATATAAACAGGTGAGACGGAGATTCAGGAGACAAAAAATATAGATCGGTATTACATTTTGTTGCTGAATCTGAAGTTGATGCACACAAGATGGCTTAAAAATGCTTCTCCTTTTGCCAGCAGTGTGTTGGCAGAAACAAATGCCTGCCACTTGTAAAAGTGTCTAAAGCTTTTACAAGCACTTAGGCGCACTTACAGGCGTCAATCCATTTCATAATAATTTATTCTGACCACTGAAATGAATTAATGCTCAAACACTAAACGTGCCTAGCGTTAACACACATTTAGAACATGGTTTTTCTGCCAAAACGCTGCTGCTCCTGGATGCACGGGCCTTGCATTTTTTTTTCCTGCCCCTGCCACAAAGAGCTTCTACATATTTATATGTGCATGGACACATTGGATAACATAGAGGGGAGTTTAAGCAGTAAAGAAAAACCTCATGCAACTAAAAGTGGCTGCAAAAACACCCTGTGTGTGAGGCTGAATTGTGAAAGGAGGAGGATGAAAGCCCCAAAAGCACACTTTACAAATTTGTGCAAAGGCAGCTTCCATACATCCATCTGGACTTATGCATTTCAAATCATGACTAAGTATGAGTAGACTGCCTAGTTGTAAATAGTCTCTTAATCAAGTGCACAAGGAGGGAGAGACAAGAAGGCACCAAAGAGCCGCATTATTTTAACTGCACAGGGGCTTAGTAGTTAGCACTTCTACCTTGCAGCCCTAGGGTCCTCGGTTTGAAACCCACCCAAAGCTTGCAGCTTGCATAGGTTTCCTCCAGTAACTCTGGTTTCCTTCCACACCCCAAAGAAATGCTAGCTAGTTAATTAGCTCCTGTCTACATTTGCCTTAGTATGTGTATGTATAAGAACTTTAGATTGTAAGCTTCTTGAGGGCGTGGAATGGTGTGAATGTCAATTGTTGGTGCTATATAGATATGTGAAAACAAAAAAACAAAAAACGTATTCCACAATTTTCCTAGTGACTAAGAATGCTAAGAGATCAAATGTGAAAATATGCCTATGGTAGCATCAATGGTCCATTATCAATTAACAACTTTGGGGTCCCACCAAGGTACTGCATGGCACTTCTATAATCCTCAAAAACCTTGGTTCTCCAGTTTTCAAACATACTGGTAAGTGGATATAAAAAGTCTACACACCCCTTTTAAAATGTCAGATTTCTGTGATGTAAAAAAAATTAGACAAAGATAAATAATTTCAAAACATTTTCCACCTTTAATGTGACCTATAAACTGTACAGCTCAACTGAAAAACAAACTGAAATCTTTTAAGGGGGGGGTAAACATAAAAAAAACTAAAATACTGTGATTGCAGAAGTGTGCACACCCTCTTATAACTGGGGATGTAGCTGTGTTCAGAATTAAGAAATCACATTCAAAATTATGTTACATAGGAGTCAGTACACACCTACCATCATTTAAAGTGCCTCTGATTAACCCCAAGTAAAGTTCAGCTGTTCTAGAAGGTCTTTACTGACATTTTCTTAGGCGCATCCTACAGCAAAAGCCATGGTCCACAGAGAGCTTCCAAAGGGATCTCTCTGGTAAAAGGTATCAGTCAAGAGGAGGGTACAAAAGGATTTCCAAGGCATACTCTTGTAGGTCTTTCTTGACATTTTCCAAAGCATCAGAGGGATCTCATTGTTAAAAGGTATTGGGCAGGAGAAGGGTACAAAAGAATTTCCAAGGCATTAGATATACCATGGAACTCAGTGAAGGCAGTCATCATCAAGTGGAGAAAATATGGTGCAACAGTGACATTACCAAGAACTTGATTTCCCTCCAAAATTGATAAGATGAGAAGAAAACTGGTCTGGGAGGCTGCCAAGAGGCCTACAGCATATTAAAGGAGCTGCATGAATATCTGGCAAGTACTGGCTGTGTGGTACATGTGACAACAATCTCTCGTATTCTTCATATGTCTGGGCTATGGGGTAGAGTGGCAAGATGGAAGCCTTCTCTTACGAAAAAAAAACCATCCAAGCCCGGCTAAATTTTGCAAAAACACATCTGAAGTCTTCCAGACACGTGGGAAAATATGTTACGGTCTGATGAAACCAAGGTTGAACATTTTGGCCATAATTCCAAAAGATATGTTTGGCACAAAAACAACACTGCACATCACCAAAAGTACACCATACCCACAGTGAAGCATGGTGGTGGCAGGATCATGCTTTGAGGTAGTTTTACTTCAGCTGGAACTGGGGCCTTAGTCAAGGTAAAGGGAATTATGTACAGTTGTAAATAACAGTCAAAATTGACACAAAACCTTCAGGCTTCTGCTAGAAAGCTGAACATGAACAGGAACTTCATCTTTCAGCATGCCAATGACCCAAAGCATACATCCAAATCAACAAAGGAATGGCTTCACCAGAAGATGATTAAAGTTTTGGAATGGCCCAGCCAGAACCCAGACCTGAATCCGATCGAAAATCTGTGGGGTGATCTGAAGAGGGCTGTGCACAGGAGATGCCCTCGCAATCTAACAGATTTGGAGTGTTTTTAAAGAAGAGTGGTCAAATATTGCCAAGTCAAGATGTGCATGCTTATAGACTCATACCCAAATAGACTGAGTGCTGGAATAAAATCAAAAGGTGCTTCAACAAGTATTAGTGTAAGGGTGTGCACACTTATGCAACCATATTTTTTAGTTTTTTATTTTTCCTTCCCTCCACCTAAAAGATTTCAGCTTGTTGTTCAACCGAGTTGTACAGTTTATAGGTTACATTAAAGGTGGAAAAAGTTCTGAAACGATTTATCTTTGTCTTATTTTTTTACATCACAGAAACTGACATTTTAACAGGGGTGTGTAGACTTTTTATATCCACTGTAGGTAAACTGTCTAATCTGGCTATAACATGCACTTGTATGCTAAGGAACTTCGTAGTAAGCACTCTGGGCTTGCAGCTATAGGGTCCTCATTTTGTAGTAGGAATGTTAGACTAAGCGCCTTTATTGTACTTTGTGTGGAAAATATTAGCACTGCACACAACAGATAAAAGTAATGAAAATACATATACCAAAGAAAAATGTCTGAATGTCTCAATGATAGCATGTAGAGGTAGGATAATTTTCTATTTATTTTCCTGTTATGCAAAGAAAGACCTTATTAGCAAATATAACATCAGTTTACTAAAGAAATAGTTGCAAGTAGCCTTATATGTTATGCATTGATCTGCCTAGCAGAGATCTTTGTTATGCTCACTTATACATCTACTTAAGGCTTGGTTCACATCTATGTGTGCCAGGAACGCATGCAACATCAAGTGCATTTCTGGCACACAAAGAAATGTGCTGCTCTTCAGCAGATGCGTAGGGGTGCCAATAATTCTTAATATATCAGCAATCACATGCGGTTCAGTACATCACGATTTTAGAAAAAGGTCAGGGACTTCTTTTCCTATGTTTCTCATGGGTAGGGCAGCCCATTGAAATGAATGTGCTGCCCAACATGCACACGATGTGAATCAAGGGTTATTTGAAGCTTCAGTATAGAACATAGTCAAGACACAGGCATACATGCTATAGAAATGTATTATTCTGTCCACTCTGTTTGACATCACCTTTTGTCTTGGCTGACATTTGGACCCGAAGATGCCCTGCTGGCTGACTTTTCTGAAGAAACCTTACTCTTCTCCAGTAGATCTTCATCTTCAGTATACACAGCAGTGCTATGTAATGGAGGATCTTAAAAAAATGAAAAAAACAAACAATGTTAAGCAGGCCTATAGAGAAATCCTCTACTTATATGTTCTGAAAGACTTTATCATTCAAGATTTTAACAAACCACATATGACCAACTGTATAAATGCAGCCAGAAATAGCTTACATACACTGCCAAATATCTGTGTCCTGCTTTCCCATAAGATAAGTAGCTGGCAAAATATTACCTGGACAGAACGCACATGGGAAACCAAAGCACTAGTATATGTCTGCATTTTACTGCCATAGGCAGGTTAACAGTTTTTAAGAAATGACAGGCATAACCTAAGTGTATCGTATGGTCATAGGGTCAAATGCCTGTCTATTAGGTTAAAAAAAAAAAAAAAAAAAAAAAAAAAAAGCATAGCAGTTGCGTTGGATTTAAAACAAATTTCCACCACTAATCACGACTTCTGGAGTCTGTAACACCAGTGGTGCGGGATGATCTGTAATTTTCCACTTACAGCACAGTGTATGGAGTGGGGTGGTCTAAAATACGTCAACCGTAACACAGTGGTGCACCAAAAACAAAACATTCAGGATTTAAAAAAAAAAAAAAAAAATATATATATATATCCAGTAGCGCAAACTAATTTTTATTGAAAGTATGTATATTTTAGGCTGATAATTTTCAGCATCACTAAACACAAGGTGTGAAATGGGGCAGCCCATACTATGCCATTCAAAGAACACAGTACAGAATGGTTCAGAGAATGCAACATAGAGCATGGCCACAGTACTAGTACACTTAAATATCATTGAACTCACCTGGCCACCACAGAAATGCATGAAACAGCACAGCTGCAATATATACATTATGAATCAAATCCAGGACGAACGTGTGCATTTTTCAAACACAATTCAGTCTTTACCAAACCATAAGAGCATCAACATTTCACAAACATACAAAGACCTTATTCATAGCAGATAATTTTTTACATAAATTGAAAAACATCAAATATTTAAGGTGGAACTTTACACAGATTCCCTTCCCCCCATCACACATAATTTACAAGCAGGTAGACTCTATTATTCGGGGTAATTCAAAATGGCTCTAAGGCTAGATTCTAACCTATGCAGGTTGCGGTTCATGTGTTTTTCCGGTACAGTTTGCATTATTTCACAAGCGTTTTTATGGAAAGGCCATGGAACCAAAAATGCAACCTGCTGAGGGCAAAAAAGTTCCTACACCTTTCCAAAATAAAAGACACAGCTGTGAACATGACCCATAAGAAATCATGTAGACTGTAGTACGTTTCTGCAAAACTGAAAATGTAGTGCAAAAGGCAAAAGGTGTGAACAGTTTTCTGGCAGTAGTTCTCTTAGAAATACATGCACCTAATTCTGGTGTACAGAGGCACTCCAGTACTTACAGAAGGCCATGCCTGTGTTAGGAAGTTGTCATGTATTTGACAGCTTCCAATACAGCTTGGTATCCCTGGCTTCATTTGGCCATTGGCTGGGAGATTCCCTGGCCAAAAGCTAAATGCAAACATAATGGCTAGTCATACAGCTGATGTAATTACCATAATATGGGCAGGCTTTCTATTGAGTCAGATCACAGAGATTTTCTGAAACATTTCTGGCAGTCAATCATGATACCTTCTCCAAAAAAGTTAGAAATACTTCTCTGAAAAAAATGTCTTATATGCTGTGTGACTGGGAATATATAACATATGGGGGCGGGGTTCTCAAATCTGATTGCAAAAAGTGAAATGCACAAGAAAGAGAAATACATAGGTTGCAATCTCTGACTTGTAGAAATGCTAGTTGATTGGCTGCCATGCTGTTTCTGTGACTGCAGGGACATCACCTTTAAAACCTGTATGAAGATCAGGAGTTCTGACTTCACTGGCAGCATGTGTATCCCAGATCTGTCACTCTATTAAACTATTTAAGTCTGAGATAGCTTGGCAGTTAGCATTTTTGACATGGGTGCAAGCAATGACAGGCTCCATCATGACTGTTTACAGGTGCGCTGGCTATCTGAGGTCCTACTGACCACAAAAGCAGTTAGGATAATCTCCCAAAAGGAGCTCAGAAAGCAAAAAACAAGCACATTGGAAAAGGGGTACCTCTTTATCATTTTGCAAAAAAAATAATTAAATATTTTTTTACTGCAGCCTGTAACCCAGTTGGAGAAATTCTCCTCATATCCTGTTCAAATGTCCACAAAGTGTGGCACCTATTGCAGAAACAGAGATACAATTCTGACAGGTTCCAACCCTTTCCGACCTGATCAAAGCCAAAAATAATGTTTTACAAGAGTTCCACTTAAAAACCAATCCAGTCAAAGTAATTTCACCCACAATTTGTACATTTGTGTACTCACTAAAAGATTCTTCTGAAATATCATCCTGCAGAGCTTCCCCCGCCTGCTTCAAAATGGTGAAGGAATTCAAAGAGGTTTGTTTTAATTGAGCAGACTTCTTTTTCTTGCCGTTTCTTTCTTTTCCCTTAACATAAAGTGAATGGATGAGAAAATGGGACTGTTTTGGTGTAGCATTTACAGTATAAACACATAGTTAATGGGAACTTGATGAGTTCTGTAATCTAGAGCAAGCCATGGAAACAAGATTCATGTCAAACCAGCAAGTAATGGCCAAGCGTACATAAAACCCTCCTAGCCGTGAGCTCTGTTAACAAAAAAAGTTACCCACTTATATTCATAGTTTGCAACAGAATGAATTGTACTATAAAAGGAAAAAACAACTAGCCACTGAGATGACTCACAGGTCTAACTTGCTCTTTCTTGCACATCCCAGGTGCTACTGCAACTACTAAAAAGAGGGTCTTCAAATTCCTTGTTGGATTTTTATTTTGAAATTTTTATTTTCATTTCAGATCCAAGATGGCTTTAAAATTACCAACAGAAGAAGATCACATTGAACTTGTTCTCCTGTATGCATGACAGTAACAGGAATCTTGCCTCTGCAAATTACACTCTTTCCTGTTTCTCCATGACATTCCTTTGGTGGAACAACATAAAATAGCACAGTTTGCTATTACTGTCAGAATTCTTTTTAAACAAAGACTTTTCCTAACAGATGGATCAGGAAGTGAGGTCCATTCAAATGGCCCCCTAGGTCTTCAGACCTAACACAAGTAGATTTTTTCTTTGTGGTCATCTGAAGTCAGTTTTTTGAATCGGCTCAGAGCAATTGTTGCACGAAAAGGAGGAAATCATCTCTGCATGTAACAGTTCTGCTACATTAAGAAACATTAAACATTCCTATATTCAGCATATAAAAAAAAATGTCACAAAGTTCAAGGTCACCAATTTAAGCATTTAATGTAACAAAAATGTTTGCATATGGATTCACAGACTTTTGTGATAACCAGCATTTTTACCAGAAACGTCTGTGCTATTATTTATGTATTCTTACAAAGGAGAGTGACAGGAAGAAGCCCTTGAAATACCAAAGCTAAAAATCTCAATATCTAAAGTAATACCACCAAGGTACTATAGTATACTAAAACATGCCCGAACCTGCTACTAAATTTACTATACAAATAGTGACTGACCACCATAGTTACACCACAGTCAAAATATGCATTGGCAGTGGCCAACCAATTGGAGACAGAAACCTAAAAGGCTACAACAGAATCTGTTGAAATATTATAAAAACAAACAAATCTGGTGCACTCACAAAACGATTATTATTTGTAACTGGTAGTTGTAAATGTTTTCAAAGTATGTTCACACTAAAAGATCAATCAGCTCCATTCTAGGAGTGTTGACTAAAAATCTAAATGACCTTGCTGACTGTCACTTAAAAGGAAAGTGCACTTATCTTCAAAGTACATCTCCTTGTGGTGTTCTGAACTTTGCAGCCTTCGAGCACCAAAGCACTTTATTTAAAATCTAACTGGTTACATGCATCGTGCAGTTTGTCACAGGATGGCCTCATTTGTGGATTTCCACTGAAATAAATACACACTGCGGAGAATGTGAGTAGAAGGTTGCACTGGCCAGATTCTAAAGGCTGTGGTGTGTATGTAAGCTGCGTATGTAGGAGTCCCCATGATCTAAGATTTTCTTAATTAACATGCTCAACATGTGATGTGTGTACTTTTATATTTATGGGCTACATGGCCCATGCAATTTTGTCCATCTCTGGTTTATAAAATACGAAAGACTAGTCTGTTAAAAAAAATTATCAAAAGAACAACCTAAGTAGTTGTGAGCTCCACTCCAATTTTAATTGATTTGTCTTTTAGACATTATTTCCTTGACTTACTATATTCTCATTAAAAACATTTACAGTATGCGGCATGATCCCCGATTTTTCATTTGTCAAATCGTACACCACTCTAATACAACAAACACCATTCAAGTACAACTAAATGCTTCTCTACGTGACCGTCTGAATACCAAATCCAGTTATGTGATGCACATGCTTCATAAAAGTAAAAAAAAAATGTCCTTTACCTTTCTGACTGATCCAAATGCTTATTTGTGTCTTACTCCGCACCCCCCTCCTCCTCCTAAACACTGCAGATCATAAATGGGAGGTTTCAGCAACAGACAGTGCTACCAATCCAGAAAGCAGTGGGTAGGACTAGGTGTGGTCGATTGACCAGCTACAGCCTTGTGAATCAGCAGTGATAATGCTGATAGTCACACCTTCTGTAACATCTTCTCATCCCGCTGTAGTTAAGCAGGCACAGCCGACATGAGTGGCAGCGCTGCTCTAAATTCAGGAGCAGTGCAGCCTCATTGCCACACCATCAAATGAAGCTGAAATAGGTATACTTCACTAGCAGGAGTAACAGGTATTTGTGGGACTCTGAGGGGGAACAAAGAAAATTGCAAGTACAGATGCACTTATACAGTCAGGTCCATAAATATTGGGACATCAACACAATTCTAACATTTTTGGCTCTATACACCACCACAATGGATTTGAAATGAAACAAAGAAGATGTGCTTTAACTGCAGACTGTCAGCTTAATTTGAGGGTATTTACATCCAAATCAGGTGAACGGTGTAGGAATTACAACAGTTTGCATATGTGCCTCCCACTTGTTAAGGGACCAAAAGTAATGGGACAGAATAATAATCATAAATCAAACTTTCACTTTTTAATACTTGGTTGCAAATCCTTTGCAGTCAATTACAGCCTGAAGTCTGGAACGCATAGACATCACCAGGCGCTGGGTTTCATCCCTGGTGATGCTCTGCCCGGCCTCTACTGCAACTGTCTTCAGTTCCTGCTTGTTCTTGGGGCATTTTCCCTTCAGTTTTGTCTTCAGCAAGTGAAATGCATGCTCAATCGGATTCAGGTCAGGTGATTGACTTGGCCATTGCATAACATTCCACTTCTTTCCCTTAAACTCTTTGGTTGCTTTTGCAGTATGCTTTGGGTCATTGTCCATCTGCACTGTGAAGCGGCGTCCAATGAGTTCTGAAGCATTTGGCTGAATATGAGCAGATAATATTGCCCGAAACACTTCAGAATTCATCCTGCTGCTTTTGTCAGCAGTCACATCATCAATAAATACAAGAGAACCAGTTCCATTGGCAGCCATACATGCCCACGCCATGACACTACCACCACCATGCTTCACTGATGAGGTGGTATGCTTAGGATCATGAGCAGTTTCCTTTCCTTCTCCATACTCTTCTCTTCCCATCACTCTGGTACAAGTTGATCTTGGTCTCATCTGTCCATAGGATGTTGTTCCAGAACTGTGAAGGCTTTTTTAGATATCGTTTGGCAAACTCTAATCTGGCCTTCCTGTTTTTGAGGCTCATCAATGGTTTACATCTTGTGGTGAACCCTCTGTATTCACCCTGGTGAAGTCTTCTCTTGATTGTTGACTTTGACACACATACACCTACCTCTTGGAGAGTGTTCTTGATCTGGCCAACTGTTGTGAAGGGTGTTTTCTTCACCAGGGAAAGAATTTTCGGTCATCCACCACAGTTGTTTTCCGTGGTCTTCCAGGTCTTTTGCTGTTGCTGAGCTCACCGGTGCGTTCCTTCTTTTTAAGGATGTTCCAAACAGTTGTTTTGGCCACGCCTAATGTTTTTGCTATCTCTCTGATGGGTTTGTTTTGTTTTTTCAGCCTATTGATGGCTTGCTTCACTGATAGTGACAGCTCTTTGGATCTCATATTGAGAGTTGACAGCAACAGATTCCAAATGCAATAGCACACTTGAAATGAACTCTGGACCTTTTATCTGCTCATTGTAATTGGGATAATGAGGGAATAACACACACCTGGCCATGGAACAGCTGAGAAGCCAATTGTCCCATTACTTTTGGTCCCTTAACAAGTGGGAGGCACATATCCAAACTGTTGTAATTCCTACACCGTTCACCTGATTTGGATGTAAATACCCTCAAATTAAAGCTGACAGTCTGCAGTTAAAGCACATCTTGTTCGTTTCATTTCAAATCCATTGTGGTGGTGTATAGAGCCAAAAATGTTAGAATTGTGTCGATGTCCCAATATTTATGGACCCGACTGTATATTCTTGTTAATGCTACTCCCTGAGCCTTGATATAGCAGACAGGCTTACAAGCAGATGGAGTTGGTTGCTGATATTGCGTAGAGTTTTTGTCCCCCCCCCCCCTTTTTTTTTCCTTTACTTTCTTCCTAAACCTGTCCCCCCTTCTTACACCAACCTTATGACATGTCCTTGGCTCTATTCTTTTCTTTCTTGTCTACTTCCACTCACCTCCCCGACTTCAGCAGGAATCAATGTTGCTAAGCCATATATTTAGACAAGGACTACTTTACACTAACCTGTATTTATTTAATTATGTCTTTGTATACAAACTTGTCATGAGGCAAGGAAGTTAGAAATGGTTTCCAAACAACCCTGTTGATGCCTCACATACCTAAACAGAAGTTGAAACAAAGTGAAAGCAATCATTTAAAGCAGTAGTAAACACCCCTGGGACACTTGTACCTACAGGTAAGCTTATAATAAAACTTACTTGTAGATACAAGGAAAATCTCCTAAATGGTGCATGGTTTTTTGCAACATGGCAAATGTGCTCTGAAGAGACAGCATACTCATGCTGTCCTTTCACAGCTCTGTGCCGCAGCCATGACTCCCGTGCGCAAGTGCAGGAGTGAAGTCATCGCAGCTTCGCCATTCCAACGGCTGGAGCCCGCAAACCCAGAAAGAAGACCAGGTGAAGATGGAGGTGTCAGCTCACCACTGGAGGGCAACATTTTAAGGGAAGTCTTTCATAATGTGCTAGTATGTGATGAATACTAGCACATTATGCCTTTACTTTGCAGGGAGAAAGTTTTTTTGTTTGTTTTTGCCCTACTTCACTACCGCTTTAATGCTATAGCAAAATTCCTGTTTACAACACATTGTCCTGACATGTGACGTATTACTTTGTTCATGCTGTTGATAGATCAAAATGCATATGACGAATGAAGTAATGTACAGTCATGGACAAAAACATTGGCACCCCTGCATTTCTGTCAGATAATGTACCACTTCGCCCAGAAAATGTTTGCAAATACAAATGTTTAGGCATTCTCATGTTTATTTCTGTTGTTTGTATTGGTATGACACAAAAAAGTGGTGAACCAAGAAGCCAAATCTGACACATTCCACGCAAAGCCCCAAAAATGTACATGACAAAATTATTGGCACCTTCTCAAAACTGAAAGGAATAATTGCATTTCAAATTTGTTATGCTCCTGTAAGTTGTAATTAAACTCACCTGTATCAATTAACATGTGCTGCTGACAATATAGAAATCACACCGGCAACCAGTTAAAACAGTGAAGAATTGACTCAACCTTTCTGTTGTATGTCTCTGTTGCACATGGAGCATGGAGAAGAGAAAGAGCAGCAAAGAATTGTCTCAGGATTTGAGAACAAAAATTGTGCAAAAGCATAGACAATCTCAAGGTTACAAGTCCATCTCCAGAGATCTTATTGTTCCTGTGTCCACTGTGTGCAACATTGTCAGGAAGTTTACAGCCCATGACACTGTAGCTAATCTCCCTGGACATGGACAAAAGAGAAAAAACTGATCAAAGATTGCAATTAAGGATTGTTCAAATGGTGGCTAAAGAACCTAGATCAACTTCCAGACAAATGACCTTCAGGCACAGGGTACAACTGTGTCAGCACGCACTATACATCACCCTCTAAATGAAAAGGGACAAGGTAGGAGACCCAGGAGGACCCCACTGCTGACACAAACAAAAAAGCCAGATTTGTGTTTGCCAAAACTTACCTGAGGAAGCCAAAATCCTTTTGGGAGAATGTGCTGTGGACAAATAAACAAAAATTACAGCTTTTTGGTAAAGCCCATCATTTTACTGGTTTCAGAAAAAGAAATGAGGCCTTTAAAGAAAAGAATACAGTCCCTACAGTCAAACATGATGGAGGTTCACTGATGTTTTGAGGTTGCTTTGCTGCTTCAGGCACTGGATGTCTTGATCATGTGCATAGCATTATTAAATCTGAAGACCATCAAAGAATTCTGGGGTGCAATGTAAGGCCTAGTGCCAAAATGTTGGGTCTCCGTCAACAGGACAATGACCCAAAGCACACATCAAAAAGCACCCAGAAATGGTTTCAGACAAAGCGCTGGAGAGTACTGAACTGGCCAGCAATGAGTCCAGATCTCAATCCACCTGTGGAGAGATCTCAAAGCAGCAGTTGAGAAAAAGAACCCTTCCAATCTGAGAGACCTGGATCAGATGGCGAAAGAAGAGTGGTCAACATTCCAGTATAGAGGGGTAAGAAACTCATTGATGGTTACAGGGAGTGATTGATTTCATTTTTTTCCCAAGGGGTGAGCTACCAACTATTAAATTGAGGGTGCCAATAATTTTGTCCAGTCCATGGTTAGGGTTTTGCATGGAATGTGTCAGATTTGGCTTTGTGTGTCATAATAATAAAAACAAAAGAAATAAACATCAGAATGCCTAAACATTGGAGTGGCAATAATTTTGACCATGACTGTATATACACATGTAGTATAATGCCTTGCTTAATTTCGGGAAAATATAAAATTGTGCTGCATGATAGATTTTCGACCATAGTTTTACTTAAAATATTTCTTATTACAAAATAAGTAATAGTAAAACAGTGATTATGATTTCCAGAACCACTTACCTTTCTGGGTAGTTCTCTGTCCTCGACATTTTCTCTAAATAAGCTTTTTTTCCTACACATCATAACACAACAAAGTTGTAGTGAAAAAGAAAAACATTTAATAAAATCACACCTACATAAGTACTTTTCTGGAGAGTATGTGGTCTATTGTCCTGTCTGTATCTGAAGTTCCTAAACTTTGACAGAAACATTTACCGTTACACATACCAAAAGGATTAAAATTAAAAAGATTTACATTAATTAATTGATTACTATGAGCAATACCCCGTTTACTTGCTTCTCATAAATGAGTAAAAAAAGCTAAAAAATAAGCAAATAATAGGGAAAAAAAAGGAGGAGGAAGGTTAAGCATAGCAAGCATTCAGACAGGTACTGAGCACCCACTGGCTGCAGCAAGTGATTGATATGGGACTCCGGTGACACTGGTTATGGACTATTGGTCTACCATTACTGGTAAAACCTTTTTCTGTTTCAATAAAAAAATTTTGAAAATAAACAGCAAGTGCACATAGTATCATTTTCATTATACAATGGTAGTTGATCAGTGGTCTTACAACCCAACATAAAATTTGTTTATAAAACACCTCTAACTAGGGTACGGTTCCAAACATTTTAGTAACTTGCATACCCTTTGGCAGTCAATTTCTATAAACTGTACCCCTCAATGGGGGAGAGACAGGAGTAGGGGGCAGGGATAATAGCAGCACGCATTACCAACTGGTGGGTGTGTCAAAGACAGTGGGAGGGGCTTAAAGGGGTACGCTTAAATAAAATCTAACCCTACCCTGCTCTGGTTCAAGAGTGAAGGGGTCAGGAGTAAGGTACAGGCGCAGGGATCAGAAGCAAATAAAGCACAGAGAGCAGGTGTCAAAAGTAAGTAAAGCACAGAGTGCTTCCCAAGTGACAATTCCTCCCATGCTGCTTTGGGCTGTTACCTGGATGCTGTCTTTAACTTCTGATCCCTGCTCCTCGGTTCCACTGCCTTTGCCGCCAGCTCAAAAGTCGTCCTTCTCCAATTCTTAGTCTTCTTCCCCTTGTTCCTTTGAGCAAATTTTCAGTTACACAAGTTCCGCAACTACAATACAGATTTTACCAATATAACCACTTTTTGTGCATTGGTTTTGTACTTGATAACTGTTTTATGTGATTTATAAAGTAGCAGAGAACAAATCTAGAAAAAGGTGGTTATGTTGGTGACATCTATATTGTATTAACACTGACTGCAACTTGTGTAACTGAGAACTTTGGCAAAGATGTATTCATTTTAAACAAAATGCATTTACACATATTATATTATATATTGCACATTGGAACAAGTTTTCAGGTATACAAGTTACAAGCAGTATAAATACAACGCAAATTTCACCAATATAACTACTTTTAACTATTGAACATTTGTCCAGTACTACCAGTTACATTTTATGTATTTTAATGCTTATTTTTAATCAGTTACATAGCAAACACCTGCAGACTACCAGACTACACAGCACACTGTGACTGTCTTCAGTGAGCAGCATGGCAGCAGGAGGAGGGTGACATCAGTTCATCCTTACCCTCCTGCCAGCTGAGGCCTGCACCGTAACTTAGTGATCTTAATGACGAAGTGTCAAAGAGATTCTACTGCCACCATTTTAAAAAACGTTTTCACATACCCCTAAATGTACTGGAATGTACCCTTGGGGGTACTTGTATTCTATGTCAAGAATTGCTGGTCTACTTAACTAGAGCTGGATAATTCCAGGTGACCAGGTCCCCACTGCCACTAAGAATCCCTTTCCTCCTGTACTTACAGCCACATTAGTGAGCTGAATGCTATAGCAGAGCTTTTGGTGACCCTATAGTATAGTATGACAATCCTGGGTTACAGCACTCCCCAATGATTGTCTACAGCAGTGGTCTCCAAACTGTGGCCCTTTGCTTGCCTTTATCTGGCCCTTGGGGCACTATTTCATTCACCAACACCAACAGTGATGCACAGTTCCTGCCAATGACACCAACAATGGGGCCCAATGACACTAATGATGGGGCAAAATTCCTACCAATGATGGGGCAAAATTCCTCCCAATGATACAATGATGGGGCAAAATTCCTCTTCATGACACCATCGTTAATGTCATTGGGAGGAATAGTGCCCCATCATTGGTGTCATTGGGAGGAATAGGACCCCATGACTCTTATGATGGGGCACAATTCCTCCCAATTACACAAATGATGGGACACTATTCCTACCGATGATGGGGCACTATTCCTTCCAATGACACCAATGATGGGGCACTATTCCTCCCAATGACAACAACGATGGGGATCAATTCCTTCCAATCACACCAATGATAGAACACTATTCCTACCAATCAGACCAATGATAGGGCACTATTCCTCCCAATGACACCAATGATGGAGCACAATTCCTTCCAAAGACACCAGCAATAGGACATTATTTACTCCAACTGATGCTGTGACATTTTCTACTCCCGAAGGCCTCCTAGATTGTAAGCCCCAAGGAGCAGGGCCCTTGAACCCCTCGTGTATTGAATTGCATTGTTACTGTACTGTCTTGTATACGGTCTCCCATTATAATGTACAGCGCTAAGCAAACTGTTGGTGCTATATAAATCCTGTATAATAATAATAATAATGTCCCCAACGCTGCAGCCCGCTGCAGCCTGCTGTACCCCCCCCCTACCCCCCACTCATGACAGAAGTTCCCCATACTAGCGGTCGCTTTTTAAAAACAGCGCGGCCGTGCGGGGCTCCGTCCACACAGCCGCGTCATTCATTTACAGTGTTCTGTGAATTAACAAACTACAAGTCCCGACAGCCTTAGAGGCTGTTGGCTTACAGTTCTCAATGAACTACCAAAGCACTGTGGAGCACCGTGGTAGTTCACTGAATCTTCTTATCAATATATCTGCTTGCCTGTACATCCCATACAGGAAAATAGATATACTGACAGATCTGCTGGTACATTGCTTTGCAGGCTCCTGCAACCAGACATAATAACTGCACTACTTTTAACATGCACAAAAAAGTGCATTTATTATTTTTGGTCAAAAGGTGAACTTATCCTTTAAGGCTGATCAACATTCATATCAGTCAACAATGATATAAGATTCCATGTTCTTGTTGTCAGTGGAACAAGTCCCTTGCCTGCTACTTCATACACACATCTCTTCAGACCTGTCTCTTATTTGATTATGTTTAATTCCATTATAAGATCACAAGGTTTGATCACATTTCCTAGCATTTTCTACAATACTATTCATAGATTCCACCAAGCACAGTACATTGTCAAAAAGTCCCCAACTTCTCTCATAATTTTGTTTTCCTTTAACCTTTAAGAAGGAAAGCAAAATATCTGCATAAATCTGACCAGAATATAAAAAAATATTGAAAAATCAAATAGGCTCATTGAAACGTGCAGACACAATGGAGGTTATTTACTAAAACTGGAGAAAATGCAAAATCTAGTGCAACTCTGCATAGAAACCAAGCAGCTTCCAGGTTTTGTCAAAAGCTTAACTGAACAAGCTGAAGTTAGATGCTGCTTGGCTACCATGCACAGCTGCATCAGATTCTGAGTGCTCCAGTTTTAGTAAATCTCCACCATTATAGCATAAATGTAAACAAAGTCTGTTCAATATTAACAGAACAAATGTTTTCTATTTAACCATTATCTTGCTATGTATCTTTCAGCTACCTATATAGTCATATGCAGGTTGGGTAGTGCTGACTCCTAGTTCGGGGAGAGATTTTGGCAGGCTTGTACATACCTCACCTCTTAAATCACACACATATTACTCCGTGAGATCTACAGAGCACAATATAGCTTCAATCACCAGGCTGTCTAGAAGGAATATGAACACAACCTATATATATTAGATTCCCCAAGATTCTAGAGGGAGCTTACTCTGAGCCCTTATTTCTTGACTTGTTCTTCTTTGTTGACATGTTTACTCCTTACAGACTCACGTTTTGTAGAATTAAGACATATTGTTTCTGTGGCTGGGCCTGTAAAACATAATATTTTCAAAATGAAAATTCCACGTTCTTTTGACAAATTTGTAAGGCTGGCTGGGAGAGAAGTTCTAGTACACCTGTCACTATTAATAATTAAACTGGATTTGACAATAAAAGGTAGGCATTTAGCAATGCCTCCACATACATTTAGTGGTCTTTTCAAATGCTGAGTCAATATAGCCAATCTCAACACTTCCTAGCATTGTCCAGAGCTTATTCTGCATTTCCTCTTAGTTGCCTTTTAGTCAAAAAGGCTGACCATCACAGTGATGACAATAAAAAACATGGAAGGTGCAGCTTTCAACATTGCTAGGTACAGCTGAACTTTGCGTATTCGAGCACCCCAGGATTTGGACCACCAGAAACCTAAGTAGAGGTCTGGCAACGTGTTATATGTTTATTGCCTCTTAGTATATGTGATGTTGATATACTAGGAGGCTGCAGGAAGAGGCTTTTTGTCATTCTCACCTTGGCAAGAAGCAGGTTGTAAACAAAATGAGTAAATAAAAAAAAAAAACAGTAAATAAAAATCAGTTTTCTTGAATCGTTTAAAACCTCACCCCTTTTGCCAAGTCCTACTCCTTTGTCACAGCTGGTACAAACAGCTGGATCACAACTTCTGACATCAGGAGATATGATCCAAGGAGGGAGAAGTGAGCCCCAGTCTATGATTATCTCCCTCTTTCTGGCCACCATCTCTCCAGTTCAGCACCAGTCCCTCCTCTGCTACTGGGACATGGTTAAAAGACATTACTCTCCATCCTACAACCTCTCCTAGTGGATTACCCTCTCTCTCCGCCACTGCAACATTCACTTCCACTTTTGCCTTTTCGCATCCCTGATCACAGTTAGGCCTCATTCACACGGGGTGTACATAACCGTACGTGCATGCAAGGCCATGTTTACCGGCATGTGGATGCATAGGTGATCCATGTATTCCTGTGCAGGCAATCCCACTACTGTTAATTGGGGCACAGCGGCTTCATTGACACAGCCACTACTCCCAATATGACATCCGTATGTGTGCACAGCCCGAACACATCCAGAGTCTTTTCACACTGGCATTCGGTCTACATCCATCTGCCAGTTTTTTTTGCCTGGATCCAGACTGAAAATTAGTGTATGTCTATGGGCGGATATAAACAGATAATCGTCTGTTTACAATTGCCTATATCCGTGCCCATTCAGGTCCATTTGTTAATGGAACAAGGCTGCATCCTTTTCCATTGAGATAGATTTGAAGAGATGTAAACATCTGTTTTTTGGAAAGAAACATTTTTTTGCTTATACTTTTGTTACCTATGTTTTGTTTCTGCAATAAAAAATAGGATGCAAAAACAGGTGTAAACTGTACTGCAGATGGATGTGGGATTATGGATGTAAATTAAAGTGGCTATAAACCTCAGACATGAAATATGAACAAAGTATATCCCTCTATAGTGTGTACTTGTCTCAATGAAGAGCACTAAGTGTCATTTCTGTCTGCTACCTTGTTCCTCTGCATGAGTCACTGACTATTCCTGACATCAAAGAGAAGATTGACAGCTTTACCTCTGTTCCTGTGAGCTGTGTGGAGGGGGCTATTTCTCTTCCCTCTAATCACCTCTCCTCACTGAGGTCTGCAGTGTGTAATTTCAGCTCTCTGTCCCCTTTTTTCTGAACTCTCAGAATCTTTATAAATTCTGTAATTTAAATGGCTGTAGAGGAAATTGCAGATAAATAGGTACAACTTATGTAGGAGGATCTGTTTTCTCTCTGTGTATTACCTGAGGTCAGTAACTTCATTGGGTATGTGTAAAGGTGTACAAACACTTTAACGCCTCGGCCTGAGGCAAGAACATGTGTGCCCCATGCAGGGCTGTTTTGTCGGCACAGGGATGCACAGGTGTTCCATGCAGACAGTGCCATTGATATCAGTTGGAACACAGCTGCTGCTGCCAATATGACATCCATGTGGGTGTATGGCCTCAAATGCACACTGTGTGAGTTTGGGGACATTCACACGCACCCGCAGATGTCATATCGAGAGAAGCTGTTGTGTCTGTACAGCAGATGTATCCCAATAGACAATAATGGGCCTGCCTGCATTCAACACTGGTGTATGCCCTTGCCAGCAAAACACGGCCCTGGCACAGAGTACACATGTAATCTCTCCATGTGGATGAGGCCTAATATAAACTGAATCCGTATTCCATTTGTTTATTCTTAGCTATAAACCTGACTGAGCAGATGATGTCCCTGTAATAGGACCCTCAGCTACTACTATACCACCCCTTCCCTCATCCTCAGTGATCCTCCAGCTATGCTCAGTCCCACTCTATGTATTCTTACAATATTACAGGATCACATGAGATCATGTAAAGGGAAAGTATACAGTCCATGTAGACTATTGTAAAATGGAATATGTTCCAGATCAGGCAGAGGGTAATCCAGTTGACATCATCAGGATGTGACGCACATCTGAGCATGCGCGGGGACCACTAGGGACCGGCGTGCTCTTTCTTCAGGCATACATGTACGATCTATGCCTGAAGAAAGAGCGCCAGTCCCTAGTGGTCCTCGCACATGCTCAGAAATGCGGGGCATCCTGATGACGTCAGACGCCTACATCTTCAGCTCCGGACATACCAGGGACTGTCGGGCTTCTCCATCCATGACCCTTCACGTGCAGCGCCTCTTGCTGATCGGCCCATAATCCCTTCCAGAGCATCTACCCACACCTGGCGATAGACGTTTTCCACACTTCGTCCCTATGAGCCTGTATACTTATTGAAAGATGTGCGTTGCCTAACTTGCTTTTTAACAATAAATGATTATACAGTTCACACTTAGAGGCGCTGTGTCCTCTGATTCAGATCAGATCATCCTCAGCTGTCTCAGCCCCTCCCCCATCAGATACCATTCAGCTTCAAGTTCTAGATCATACTAGCACTCAGCTGCATCCTCCGCCGCCCTCTAGTGGCAGACATGGATACATCAGGTGCAGTCTTCTATAGCAGTCACAACCACTGAACCAATCCCAATGCTCCTCTCCTGGTTCACAATCGCCGATGGCAGCACTGCTTATACCAGACATTAGCATTTCTCCTTTCCCGGCTGTAATGGAAACACCGCGTTTCCCAGTGGAACAGCGGGAGAGGGTCTGAGGACACATAGAGAACTCTAAGAACTCCCCCCTGTACTTATCTCCTCCGGAAATACCCTCTAGAATACAGACCGCGCTTCTTACATGGTTCGTAATATCCACACTTTGAATCCTATAGAGCCCGCTAGTTCCCTCGGACTCATCAGTCGGCGCCAAACCAGAAGAGAGTCGTGGAACGCAAACAACTCACATCCGCTTCCTTCTTCCTGAATAGAGAACTTCCTGCCTTCTGATGGCTGAGGAAGAGGTGTGCTTTCTGCCTCCTGACAGCAAGGGGCGATGTACTGCGTGGCGATCACAGTGTGATGGAGGTCTTCTCCGATTTTGTATGCTATTTTGATGTCCATTTGAAACACGTTTGTGAATGATGGCTCTGAATGGGGGGCATTGTTTGCTAAAACACAGTGTATAATATACAATTTTTTTATTATACCAATCTGTTTATTACATTTCCATATGTACAGGGAAAACAAATGATACTGTCTGCCCCAAAAGAGTTGCGTAAGGAAAAACAAAACACAAGAACGTATCAAAATAGACAATAGTACAATGGGAGGACACAAGACAGCAAGCGGTGGTATCTAGTAGTCCGTTACCTCCTGGTATCCATTCCTATGTGTACTCCAAAGACATGCTGATAGGTTAAAGTGTTACTGAACCCACAACAGTAAAATCAGTCTGTATATACAGTGAAGCATGCTTGTGGAACCTAAGGGGCCAATCCTCTGCATTGTGTAAAAAGGCTGTTTGACCCTGAGTTCTCTGATCCTCCTCTTATTCCAGTATCCCCCTCCTATCTCTTGATAAGACATATCGTGTGGAGTCACTCTGCACATGCTCAATTTGGTGTATATTGCTAGAAAGGTTTTTTTTTTCTTGGGAGAGTGCATGTGATCAGCACAGGACCAATCAACACTCTCCAGACAGAGGTCAGTGGTTCTACATCCTCCTAGAGAAAACTTCTACAAGCTTTAACCAGTGCGCAACTGGACACTGATAGATGTCACAAGACTACTCTGCTGATGAGAAAACTGAAAAATTCCCACTCATAGCCTTGGGAGGGTACTCCTACTGCCATGGAATTCATCACAAAAAGAGAATTACGGTAAGTATTTGATAAGAAATTTTCCGTTTTCTTGACAGTCTCCATGGCAGCATACTTATGGGAAATAGCTAGCCATACACACATGGGTGGGCAGTTACTCAAACAAAGACTTTAATTTGCTCTGTCAACCAACAGGAGTTTCAAACCAAAATTAATAGGGGATAAGGAGGCAGGTTCTACACAGTAATGAGCCATAAAAGTGTTGATTGAGGACCATGAAGCCACTCTGCAGATCATCTCAGGGGTGACATGCCGGGAAGCCACCCAGGACATAGCCATACTTCTGGTTGAATGTGTGGTCACCGTCTCTGGAGGCACAAAGTCCTTATCTCTGTAGACCATTTGGATGGCCTGGACGATCCAGGGAGATGCCCGGTCTCTTTTACTCGGCCCATGGAAAAGGATGAATAAATGGCCTGACCTACGGAAGGATGCTGTGACCCACAAGTATAGCCTTAAGGTCTCACCTACATCCAGGGGGTGAGCAACATCGACTCCCGAGGCTCTAAATGTTGGCAGGACAATCTCTTGGTTCTCATGGAAGACCGAGGCCACTTTAGGATTAGAACCTAGCACAGGGATGAGGACCAATCAATCTGGGAAGAATGTCAGAAATCGCTCTTTACAGCTAAGGTTCCCAGTTTTGGAGACTCTTTTTGCCAATGTAACCACCACCAGAAA